TTTAGGACAGTTAAAAATATCTCACTAAGGAAGAAAGAAGAGACAGTTGCAGATGCAGATAGGTCTTCTGATCCCCACTCTCAACAAGTAAACTAAGTTTAAGCTTCTTTTGGGCAGCGTCCATGTGTGATCATATATGTGCATCTCATTCAGGAACAAAACTACGACAATGTTCTGCTGGGGACTCAAAAATATGAATAAAAGTGCAGCAAGGCAATGAGAGGTTGTAAGAGATTGGAAGCTTTTCCATTTCACCTATCGCCTTTGATGCTCTCGCAGGCCGAAATGCTCCCTCGGAACCTGCGATGGGGCAGGGGTCTAGGCATGCAACCAGAAACTTCCAGAGCCTGGGGCATCACTTTCATACCCAATATCCAAGCAAACATTGCACACCAACGCCGACAGGGGGCGAGCCCCACCCCAGCCTTCTCGGGAGGGGGTGGCTCCGCGGTGCCGACGACCGCAAATTGCCCAGTACCCCGGGCGGCGGGGGTGGAGAGTCCACGAGCAAAGCAGAACGCCCAGGCCTGGGTAGCGCGGGACGAACCCCTCCAGGGAACTCGCTGCCCGGGACTCCGCTACCCTGGACACCGACGCGCCGCCCCAACGCCGCACCTCCGCCGCCTGCCCCAGCCCACTCCGCCTCACCGGTACGCACAGCCGCGCCGCCTCCTCCCGCTAGGAGACCCCACAGGTCTCCTCGGTTGCTCCAAGCAGCTACAACGGAACTGCCCGCTCACCTGACCGGGCCGTTAGTGCCGGCACCGCCCCGCCAGACCTGCAGGGACTCACGCTGGCCCCCGCCTTCCTGCGCTTTCCCACAAGCCCTCGCGAGCCCTTGCCCCGCCCCCTAGATACTGGGCTGGAGCGTGCGCAGAAGGTCAGGTTCATGACTGCTCGGGGTAGAACCAGCTTGGTGAGGAGAGTGTGTGAAGGCGGCGTCTGACCCTTTGCCTGCTTCCAATGTAACTAAACTTTACATGAGATAACCTAAAAACTGTAGGGTCATCCTGACTTTCTTATCCCCAAAACAATAAAACCTTGACTATTTCCTTGGACTCCCCTCAATGTTATCCCTAATATTTACCTTGCTGGTATCTAACGGTATGTCCGTGACCCGTGTGAGTATTATAATGATGTGAGAAACTTACTGTTTTTCTACCATGAGCAGACTTGTAACTTTGTAAACTTGTAACCCTGGCAGTGCGGGACTTTTTTTTTTCTTTAAGTGTTTGTATTTGGCAAACCAGTCCTTCAGTCTGACTCCCTTACTCCTTTTGCAAGTAAACACTTTCCTTTTCTAAGTGTATCTCTCTCTGAGTCTTTCTTTGATGTGTGCCTGTATTAAGGTCTGTCTTTAGATATGCTCTGGCTTACAGAGAAAAAAGAACATGAAGCTCTTAACACTTTGCTTCTGCTTCCTGTGTGAAGGAAGGAAGCTCTCAGGAGAGAAGGCTGTCATTACAGAAATAGCTTTGTTGCGGTGACAACTCTAAAATTGTAAAATGAAAATAATTTTAGAAGTCCACAAAAACAAACACAAACAAAACTTTCAATTTGAAACAGCTCTATGATCTCAAACACCATCCTGAAAATCCTGATGGGTGGTTCTCAAGCTTGATTGAAACTTGGAATCACTTAAGGACTGTATGTGTTTGTGTATGGGTACACACACACACGCACACACACACACACTGATTGCTAAGTCCTATCCCAGAGAGTCTGATTTAATTAGTCTGGGGTGCAGCCTGAGCATCAGAATTTTTTAAAGCATAGAAAACGACTGTACAATTGAGGCTAGGAACCACTAATCCAGGTGCTGGTCAATGAAAAACTACCTTGGGATCCTCCCTCATGAGATCATATCATTAGCACATCTTTTCCATTGTTTAATTATTGGTATCTTTGTATTTTAAAGTCATAGGAGTCAAATCATTAAGTGCATCATCAAAATATTTACTAACGGAATGATTTTTCTTAATTGTGTTAGGGAGAAATGTAACTGACTTTTAAAGAGTTACTTATGTGTTTTAATTAATAACAAATTATTTTAAAACAGATATTGATTTATTGATGTTCTTAACAAAACCAACTACATTTGATTTATTCTGGGAGATTTGTGCTTACTTCGGCAGCACATGTACTAAAATTAGAAAGATACAGAGAACATTAGCATGGTCCCTATGCAAGGATGACATGCAAATTCATGAAGCATTCCATATTTTTAAAAATATAATTTATGTAAAAAAATTCTGGGAGAGTTGATTGAAATGAGAGATAGGGAGACTAGGTGGCTGCTCTAGTAAAACGTCATAGACCCTTAGGTGATCCTCTCTTCTCTCTGTTTCTCTCTCGTTTTCTCTCTCAAGCCACACGATAATCAGAAGGTTGCTTAGTGAATATAAAATCAAAGTGAGACGAGTTAATGGAATGATCTTGATGGCCATGATCCCCTAATTCTGAAGCTCCTGTTGTCCCAATAAAACTGCGCCTGTGGTGGCAGCCCTCTCTCCTGTGAGCTCAGACCCAGGCCATTTTAAGTTCTTTTCCAGATTCCATGCAGACTTTCCCATTTCTGTTGAAAACTGTCTTCAAATGGGTTTCAACAAGGTTGGTAAATCTTGCCTTTATTGTGTGTCTCTTTTATTCATTTATTTACTTTTACTGAGAATAAACCCCAGTCACCTCAATTGAATTTATTGTTAACACCTGAATAGTCATTTTCAAAGAGACAATCTCTTTATGTATTTTATATGCTGAAATTCAAATGATCAGTGCAAATAAACATGAATGTTTATTATTGCAACAGTAAAATGTTGTAATTGTTGTGAATATTGTTAATTTTATATACAAAACAATAATTAGTATCTTTCAAATAGTTAAATAAATAAAGATTCTGACAGTTAACATAAATCTTAAGAAGGGGAGCATTAGCTAAGTAACTTTAGGAAGAAAATTTATAAACCTTGGGGCTTCCAAACCTGTATTAGGTTTGGTTGCATATGACAAAAAGCCCAAAATAAGAGTGGCTTAAACATGAGAGATTATTTCTGTCTCCCATAGGACTGAATATAAGCAACCTAGAACTAGTATGGCAATCCCAGTGCCAGACCCAGGCTCCTTCTACCTTGCTGCTCTACCATCTTCAGCACATGGCTTTCACTCGTGGTTCAAGGTGGCTGCTCAAGCTCCAGTGACCTTGTCTGAAATTCAGTCAACAGGAGGGGGCACGAGTGAGAATAATGGCACCCCCTGCCCTTTAAGAATACTTCCTCTTACATGCCATTGGCCAGGATTTAGACACATGGCCACTTCTGTTTGCAGGGAGGTTGAGAGTTTTTACTCTTGGCAGTCATGTGCATATCTAAACACTGGGAGTTCAATGAATAAGGAAGAGGAGGAGGAAAGCAGATATTGAGGGGCAACCAGCAGCCTCTGTCACAGGTCTTAATAGGTATTTTTTTTTTTTTTTTTTTTGAGACAAAGTCTTGCTTTGTCACCCCAGATAGAGTGCAGCGGTGTCGTCATTGTAGCTCACTATAACCTCAGACTCCTGGGCTCAAGCAATCCTCCTGCCTCAGCCTCTTGAGTAGCCAGGACTACAGGCTCATGCCATAATGCCCAGCTAACTTTTTGATTTTTTTTTTGTAGAAATATATTGCTATGTTGCCCAGGCTGATCTCAAACTCCCGGGCTCAAGCAATCCTCCTGCCTTGACCTCCTAGAGTGCTAGGATTATAGGTGTGAGCCACCGCGCCTGGCCAGTAAGTATTCTTTAGAAGAATAATGAATGAATAAATGAGTGGATACTGCTAGAAATACAGACTAACTACAATGTAAGCAAAAGGGTTGAACTTTGCAATCCTGATTCCGCTGCTTACTACAAATGTAGCTTAATCAGAGCCTCAGTTATCTAGGTAAAATTAAAGTGGTAAAGATAAAAATATCTACCAGATCATGCGAGATATAGTCAGAAGCTTAAAAAAAATACCTATCAGAACGAGAAAATGTATACAAAAGGACTACTTAGCACAGCTTGGGACATCGTAAGAGCTTAATGAATGTTAGTTCCTACCCCTCCCTCCTGCGAAGCTAAGGTCCAGATGCTGGAATAGGGTAACTCTCTCCTACATCTCTGTCTCTTTGTTTCCCACGTGACTACCTGGAAGACCTCCAAAGAGATCTGTAGGGGGCACAAGTATTGGGCACCAGTGGATGAACGTTAAGGCTGATAAGAAGGATGGCAAATTGCCTCTCCTAGTGCAAAATGAAATCTATATAAGTGAGACAAGAATTATTATAAGAATGGCTAGCATGTTATTTTACATTGCTTATGTCACAACAGTGGTAATATTATTCCCATTTGACTGATGAGGAAATTGGCTCATCAGCCAGCAAGTGACAGAATCAAGCCTTGTACCTGGGCAGCATGACTTCAGAGCCTGTACTGTAACCAGTATGCGCCACTGACTCCCTGTCTTGCTGGGGAAGGGCAGGAAAGGGCCCTGTTTCATCTATCTACACTGTGGTAACTTGCCTGAGGTATGCCTTCCTACCTGACATTTTTCTAGCATTGTGGCTTAAATAATCTTTTTTGCAGGTCAGAGGTCTCTTTGTGTATCTCTTTAGCATCTCCTCTTCCCTCAGTTTGGTCAACCTCTGTGACCACAGAAGCTGCATTCAGAGGCATCCTTATACTCCTGTGTATGTCATCAAAGGGAATGGTTATTGGGGATGGGGCTGCCAGTCTCCATTTACCCCCTCCTCATAATCTGTGTGTAATGTTCCTTCTACTCTTCATGTTACAGGTGCGTCAGGAGGAATTCTCTTCCCCTCTTGGCTAGAGAGCCTTGGGGAGTCATCAAGGACCACACCCAGATACCACATTCTCCAAGATTCTGAAAAGACACTAAAGTAGAAGTATCACTCCTAGCCCTGCTTCAGGGAGGAGACAAGGGAGACAGACAGTTGAGGGGGGCCATATACAAAGAAGAGACACATTTCATGTTTTCTTAAATGACTTTAATTAGAAACTCAAACCCTCTAAACTATAGTTCTCCTTAGCTCTGTGGGACAGCATCTGGTTTCCTGGTTTCCAATGGGGCTGTGAAGAAATGCATAACTGAGGTTGAGACAGGGAACCCCCATCTCCCTGGTCTCCTATTCTAGACTTATTCAAATTATGGCTGCTGGATAGGCCTTAAAATAATTATGTTAATTCACAAAACTATAGGTTCCTTTCTTCTTCTTATGCTACATCTTCCTCCTATGAGGGGAACTCTTTCAAAAAACTATTTGGGATGAAAAGATAAATCTATAACTGCACTGAACACCTGCAATTGGGAAGCTTCTTGATGCAGATACTGAGCTGGCTGCAAAATCACTCAGGTCCAGAGAAGGCCACCCTGCCTCCAGCCTGCCCACTGCACTAATCCATTACCCTTCTCCAGGGTCAGATTCTCCCAGACTCTGTTCTAAGAAAATCTAACTCTAGAAAAGACCAAAGGCCCAATGCCTGATTTCTATGGCCTGACTTCATTGAGGCCCCCAACACAGGGCTGAATTGTAGTTTGCAGAGCAGTGTACAATAACAGCCATTATAGTAATCTTGAATTTCTATCAGCCGTTCTTCCTAAGAACAATTGACAACACCTTCACAGTAATTGTATCACCAGGTTTGCCCTCTCACCAACCCCAAAAAGAGGAAAGAGATCAGACCCCTTCCCTTTACATTAAAGGAAAGCATGAGGCCCAGTGAGGTCAAAGGACTTGCTTGTGGTTCCACCACACATCAGGGCAAAGAGCTTGCAAAGGAGTCCACCTTCTCTGCCTGGACTCTGTTTCTTAGCCTACATTACCAAAATGCTGGAGGACAAAGATTTGACTCTTTGCCTGCATTTTTTCTGATTTATATCTTTTTTCTTTCCCATATGGGCATTTGGGAATCCCTCTCATCAATTTAGGGACCCCGCCCAGTTTCCTCTTTCCCCTCTGGAGTCCACAGCAGACTGCACCTTGGCCTTGCAAGAGCCCTCACTGCTCTCATCCCCCTTTCTGGCTCAAGGCTTTATCAGGTAGAACACACCACATAGGCTGTGGCGATGTACTTCTTGCCATTTCCATAGGTGGTCTTGTCCCAGGTATAGGTCTGGATGGCCAAGGGATGTCCACCCAGGCTTAACGCGCACCTGTGGGGAGAGATCACGAAATCAGAGGTGCTCACCACTTCACCCTCCCTCCGTCCCCAGGCTGGAAGTCTCAAGCCCAACCCAAGCAGAAGGGATTCCATCCTGTTTAAATGGCCACTAAGGCAGAGCTGCTTCCAGCCCCCACGTGAAGGGAGCCCTTTTGAAATCTATGCCTTGTTTTCTGTCTTCTTTAAAAAACACTGCTCCTCATCCCCAGAGCAATATTCTAAAATCCCTAAAATCCCAGATTCTAGAGCTGAAATACTCAGAAATTAAACGTTTGCTTAGGGTTTCATAAGTAGTAGGACCCAAATGTTAGAGAACATGAAGGCCAGTTTCAATCTGTACTCTCTGCGGCTCTAGGGTTCCGCTCCTCCCCCAGGAGCCTCAGGATCCACATAGAGAGGCATAGAACCCCAGGGCGACTCCATTTCTAACTGTTTTATATATGAAAGTCCTTAATATATAAGAAATATAAGATTTCATTTAGGGGGCAAGAGGGGAAGTGGTTCTGCTGCTGATACAAAGTTTGGCAGCCACAGACTTAATCTAACAGCTTCATTGTTCAAGCAAGAAAACTAGGCCCAGAACAGCGATTTGTTCAAGCCCTCCCCTCCACTGAGCGGCAGAATCCAGGTCTCCTGACTCTGTCTTGGCAGAGGACAGCCTGCGGCCCTGGCCTGCTCCCCAGGCCTGGCTGGCCCGGTGCTTACATTTTGCCCGGCCTGGCGATGAAGCACAGGGAGTAGAGTGCAAACTCAAATTCCGGGCTGCTGCCGATGAACGCGGCGCCCACTTCCTTATAGTAGCCATCCCAGTTGAACTGCATCGCCAGCACGTCAGGGTAAGAATCCCACTGCAGAAAGAGGGCAGCAAAGGGGCTTGGCGAATGCCACAGAGAGGAGTCACACACGTACAAACGGCAACAGGCAGCCAGTATTTGTTGAGGGTCCATTAGGGGCCTGTGTGAACCTTCTGGGGAGACTAGATTCTTTAGATGGAGGGGACAGTCTGCCTTGCTAAGGTGTCTGAGCCCTATTCATACCCTCTGTCTGGAGCTGCCAGTGTGCATCTACTAGGGAGGCCAGAGTTAGCATCCAGCCAATCCCACAGTGGCAGGGTCATAACTGTTCCCTGTGGCCCTCATGCATGAAAGAGAAAGAGAGTTTATTGCTCCCAGATTATTTCCTGGCACAGGACAGCAAATGTTTCTGTCTTATAAAATATGTGGAGTTTAGCTCAGACCAGCCAGGCTGAAACTTCCACATTCTAAGGAAATTCAGAGAGGGGGTAATGGCATATCTTTGTTTTTCCCCTCTGAGAATCCTTCCTTGACCCCAACCTCTCACTCAGATATGGTGCCCACTGCCTCTGCCCCCTGCGGTTCTGGAGCCTTCACTGTTTAGAAGGGAACCCCAGCATCCTAGCTGGCTAAACCTCCTCTCCAGCAGACGAGGACATCATGGTCACAATCCCCAGTGGCCTGCCCATGAGAATCAGGGCGAGAAACAAGTCTGGCTGTTTGGAAAGCAGAGCAAGAGCAGGAAGTCTGGGCGCTGACAAGGCTTTTCCAGCCTGTGTACTCACAGGGCCGTCGTAGTTGTAACTGTAATAGTCAACGAGGCCCTCCTTCTCCTGCAGGTAGAAGCGGATCCAGTTATGAAAGCCGGTGACCTTGCCTTTCTTGACTTCACCTGTAATAAAGGGTCCAAGGTGAATGATTGAGGCTCCTTCCCTGCACCACTGCTCTGCCCCCTTTCTCCACCCCATGACAAGTCTGTCTCCCTTCTCCAGTCTTATTTTCTAGAATGTCCAGCTGCTCAGCCCCTGCCCTGACCCCCTAGAGTGCCTTGCACCCCCACCTCTCAGCTCAGGAAGGCCCCCTTTTGGCTCAAGGCCTTGGGGAATTCTTCCTCCCGCTGATCCTGAAGACCACTGTCCATCTCCCCAGGAGCAAGCCAGGCTTGGTGGGAGCTTTACCGGGTGGGGCAGTGGCGGGAAAGGCCATGAGCTTCTTGAGAAGCTGCTGATCAAGCACTGGAAGCAGAGGACTGTCCAGAGGCAGACGACCTTGCCCCAGTTACTTTTTCCATCCTAGATGCACCCTTGGGAGCCCCAGCATCCGGTCCTCTTTCCTCCTTAGATACTCCAGAAGAGACTCTTTCTCAGCATGGCTCCTTGGAACCCTCTGTCCAGGCCTGGGAGTGCATGTGTCCCTCCTTGCTAATTGGCGTGGCTGCTGATTCAGCAATGCCCAGGGCTGCCCCGCTCCTAAGCAAAGCCATTCTTCTTCATCCCTCCAATCTTTCTTGCCAAGCAGAGTTATCTCACCTGAGAAGACGTGTTCAAAGCCACTTGAGTCTCCCTCTTCGTTGCCTCTTGAATAGAGCCCAAACCACATGTTCTTCAAGTCATCTACGAACTCTTGTTCTGAGCTGTAGCGATCTGCAGAGAAGAACACAGGGAGCTTGGAGAGGGGACACAGAGCCTGGTCCTGGGGAGCAAGGAAGGGCCACCTGCTCCAGCACATCAACAGACACATGGGCTCAATCAAAAAATATGTGCAATTGCTTAATTCAACAATTACCTATGGAGTATCTATTTAGTAGTGGGCCCGGGTCCACAGGCTGCAGATTCAGCAGAGAATGACAAGAACACAATTCCTGTCTTTATAGTTTACATTCCAGTGGAGGAGACAAATAATAAATAAGTAAACAGTAAATAAATAATACAATTTCAGGTAAGTGCTTTGAAGCAGAGTCACCCTTAATGACTGGAGAAGCAATGGGAGGGTAGAAGGATCTTCCAGAGAGGACAATCTGAAAAGCCTCTCTGAGAAGGTAGCACTAATCAGAGATCTGAAAGATAATGGGCCTCACAAAGATCTGGGGGGAAGATTCTTCTATGTAGAGGGAACTGCAAGTGCCAAAGGCACCAGGCAGACTTGAGTTTGATGTCCAAAGAACTGAAAGGTTAATGTGGCTGGAGCACAGTGAGCAGGAGGGGAGAGTGGCAGGAGAGGAGGTGTGAGAGGTAGGCAGGGACCAGATCCTGCAAGCCATGGCAAGCAGGTCAGATCTCAGACAAGTAGTAATGAAAAAAAAATGTTTTCAATTTACCTAGCACTTTCATGTATGCCTAGCACTGTCTCAAGTGCTTTTGATATAACATTGAATCTTCACATTAAATCTTTACATAAGGATGGTGCTAATTAGCCCCAACTTAGAAATGAGGAAACTGAGGCAGACAGAGGTTATAAGATTCATACAAGATCACACAGGGGGCAGTGGGGTAAAGACAAGAATTAAATCTAACTCCTGGGCTTTTGGCCTGAGCAACTGATGGATTATGCTATCCTTTAGGAGATGAGGAAGACCCGGGGAGGGGTAGGTCTGGAGGAAGAGGTGGGAACCACGAGTTCTTCCTATGCTAATTTCTGTGTAAGATCTCAGTTGATAGGCAAGGAGATGTTGACAAGGCCCTTGGGACCCACAGGAAAGGTCAGGGCTGGAGATTTAAATTTAGGAACCATCAAATATTTTTACTGCCCAGAATTTTTTGTGGTGGATACAAAAGAGATACCAGACATATTTGCTCCTTTCAAGGACATAAAACACATTGGAAAACAAGACTAAATATACGTGAAATAACAGAGAATAGTTTCCCTAACAGAATAGCTGCCCTTACTGAGCACTTCCTGGGTGCTGGGCTTCCTGCTGGGGGCTTTATCAGCATTCACCCTCAAAGGCCCCACTTCACAGGTAAGGCTCAGAGAGGTAAAATAACTTGCCCAGGGTCTAACCACCAGCAAATGGTTCAGACCAAGTCTCTCTAGCCCAAGGCTGTTTTGGACCACATCCCAAACTCTCCACCTCTGCAGAGATGCTAAAAGCCATACATATGGTGAGATGAGCTAGAACTTTAAGGATAAGTGGGATTTGGACAGGGAGAGAGGAGAGGAGAGGGTGAGGTATGGGACAGCTGGCCTCAGCTTCGGAGCCCTGGGCTCCAGCCTGGCTCTGCTGGCAACTCCTTTGTGGCCTCAGATACAGGTCTCTGTTTCTCTTTTGAAAAACCCTTGCTCAGCCCAGACTGCCAAGACTGGCTGTGCATTTACTACAAAAAGAACACCAGGGGGCGGCACAGGATTGTGTCTGCAATCAAGTGTCACTGGCTCTACCTAAAAACACCACCACCAACTCCTAACCGAGGTGGATGGAATGCAGCAGCTCTGAGCCCAGGAGACCTCAGGAACAGCGAGGGGAGAACTGGACAGAGACACCTCTGAGACAGCCCAGCTGCTGGAGTTCGGGAAAGGAATCTGGAGGACACTAACAAACACAACCCCCTGCCAAGAAGTCCTGCAGCCAGAACCTTTTTTGGTCTGACTGGAATATATCTGTATCTGGAGGCATTCCAACCAGAACTTTTCCTGGTAGGACTTCCCTTTCTGGACCTTTGTTGATCTGTTGCTGTTTCCCCAGCAAAAATGTGGAGTCGGCCCACTCGCTTCCTGGACTCAGTGCAGGAGGAAGGAGTAGACTCAGGGCAGTAGACTCTACCAGTCGGAAATGTGGCACTGACTCTGGGGTCCACTGGGGGACTGAGAAGTGCCTTGGACTGGGGGTGGGGTGTGAGGGGAGGCTCACGCCTGGCAGAGAACCCTGAGACTGAGGCAGAGGGTGGGGATCCATGGGGCAACTAACGCTGAGTCAAAGGTGGGTGATTTCCAAGCCAGACAGCCAGAGTATCTTCAGCTCCTGGTTGGGTTCACAGCCTCTCCTTGGCTTCTCTCTGGCCTGCCTCGTCCCTGGTCCATCCCAGATATACACTGACCTCCACAAAGTCCCCAGAGCATCCTCACCTGCCCTCCTCACCTCCCCACCGTGGAGACCCAGAGGCGCCTGGCCCTCTTGCAAACAGACCTGTGTCCTCGGCACTGCCTTGTGGGGCTAGGGACAGCTCACTCACTCTGGTGGTGGAGGAAACTGTAGAGCTCCTTCATGACTGCTGTCTTCATGATCTCCCTGAGGAAGGTGTCCTGCTCGGCCAGCTGCTGGCCATTGAAGTGCTCCCCGTGGCCCGTTGCCCGCTGATAGTTGTTGAGGAGGTTGATGAAGGCTGCATAGGTGGGCTTGGAGAACAGCTTCTCGTTGACATAGGTGAAGAGTCTGGGGGAGGCAAAGGGGACCCACTGAGAGACCTACACATGGAGCAGAGATCCCTCGAGAGACTCCTAGACAGGCCGGGGGCAGGCGCATGAGGGCTGGATCATGAGCTGAGGGGGACTTCAGATACTCTTGAAGGCTGCACATGAGGTCATGTTTCTTCTACCTCAGCCTGGCCAGTCACAGAAACCCTCTCAGCTGAATACCCGCAGTCCCTCAAGACGGCTTTATTTGTCTCTGGAGACCTATTTTTCTTTTCTCTCCCTTTGATTCAGCCTGACTTGAGGAGAAAAGAGCTGAGGCATCAAAAGCAGCAAGGATGAGGGAGAGGCTTTGGGGGAGTGGGAAGAGGGCCGAGGGGAACTCACGGCTCTGGGCAGTGGTCCACTTTGTCTCTGGTCTCCGAGGGGGAGATGCAGTTTTGGCTATTGAGAACAATGTCTTCCTTCCGGGCTTTGTTGGTGTCTGCCCTGTAGATCTTCTCAGAGGTGCTCTGAAGCTCCTCTTTGGTTATGGCGTCACTGCTGTGGGAGAAGCCCTCTGGGAGAAATTGGGGGAGGCTGGTCTCAGAACCAGTGGGGCGGGCAAGAGATGATCTGTGGGCATCCCTCCCGGGCACCTTCGAGAAGCCGGCAGCGAGGGAGAGGGGCCACAATCAGATACCCTAGTGAGTGGAGGGCAGGGGCATAGAACCTAAAGAACCCTTAAAATCAGCACATGGCATTGTCCACAGAGTGGCCACAAAATGTCCACACTGCCCCGTCCCTCTAGGAGGGCTCTCACTCATGGGCATGCTTCATAATCACCTGGAGGGCTTGTTAAGACAGAGCGGTGAGCCCCTGCCCCAGAGTTTCTGATTTGGTAAGCCCAGAGGGAGCCCTAGAGTTTGCATGTCTCACAGGTTTCCAGGTGATGCTGAGCGAGCAGCTGGTCCAGGGACCACACTTTGAGAACCACTGCTCTAGAGTCCCTCTGTCTCTGAGGCTGCGCGAAGGGAGCAGGGGACTGACCGTGGTTGCCACACAGATTTGCGAAATCCTCGCAGCAGTTCCCAAACTCTTGGCAGCGGGCGTTGCAGTGGCACGGCTGGTGCTTGTCGAAGGCCTCACGGCAGCGGCCCTGGCAGGAAGTGGGTGCCAAGTACAAGTCTGCAAACAGAGGGGAGGCATGTCCCGGACTGGCCTCTAGAGGACGCTCTGCACGCCCCTCAGACCGGCCCCCCTCTGGTTGGCTCTCCCCCACTCTTCCTATTAAAGATCTCCATCCAGGGAAGGAAAACAAACAAGCTTAATCCGTGCACACCCTTCACAGTCAGGAAGTCCTTTCTGTTGCCGGACTTAACTTTCTGGCATGCTGTTTTTCTAATCTTCCCATTCTAAAAATAAAATCTCTTCCACATCCCTCTTCAGGCCTCAGACTCTCTTTCCTGGCTACTCCCCTGCCCCCTGAGGGGCTGGCTGAGCCCCTCAGCTTCTTCCTGCCCAGGGCCCAAGAGTCCTGTGAGCCCCTCTCAGCTGGCTCAGGCCTGGGCCTGCCACCTCTGCTGTGGCTGTCCTCTCCTGTCACTCCTCATGTCCCTCCCACTTTATCCTGTAGGCCCCCATTTGGGAGGGCAGGCTCACTGCTGGTGGGGGCCTCTTCCTCCTCTTCCTCCAGCTCCGGGAATGGCTCTGGCTCTTTGGGGTCCTCTGCAGCTGTAGATAGAAAAATAAAGTCACCAACGTCCCCTCCCTCTTTTGTCCTGGTCCCCAGGTCCCTGGCACAGGGACAAGCAAGGGCACTGGAAGCAAATAATAAACAGAGGCCTGGTCCCATGGACAGCACGAAATAATTGAGGACAAAAACTGAAAATGGAAGACAAATTATTGAAAACTGTCATAAAAAATGAAAATAACCTCCCCAGGTGACAAATCTCCAAACACTTTATCATTCTGGTACCCATTGTGCTCATCTATAGGAAGGGGAGGGGGCAGGAGGAGGTGGTCCCTTCTGGATTAAAAATTGATTTTAGCTATGACTTTTCTTAACTAAAGCTGACAGATGAATGGAGAGTCTTGATGCTCTCAGAATGACAAGACAGCACTTTGGAATATCTCCTACCTATAATAACTCTCAGTGGGAGTCGAGGGTAAATCCTCAGGGCCTAAAGGAATAAGAACTGTTTCCTGAGATACCAACTTCCTTTCTTTCTTTGCCCCACTTGGAAATGGCCACAAAGATTGTGTTTAGGGGAAGCGCACATTCAGAAAAGCACATTCCTATTGCTGCTTCATTCTCCTAACCTGCAAGCTGAGTGACTCGCCTCTGGGCAGAGGAGGGTGGGGTAGGGAAGAAGAGAAAGGAATGTTCCTGGGGACTCTGAGTTCCCCACTCATCACACAGTGGAATAATTCCCTCCACAAAGATACACACATACACACCCAAGAAAGGACACTGTTACAAGGTGACTCAGAATCTATTAGTGAGTTTGCTGGATAAAATTTTGTTATTATCATCAGAACCACCCGTCAGTTTATTCATTCAATCAACAAACATCTCATCACTTACTCTGTGCCAAGCTGTGTTCTAAGAGCTGGCAATCCATAGGGTTCTTAATTCAGCCACATTTTATGCTAAATAAACTTTTGGGAGCTGAGCTGGAGTCCTAACCATCATTTACAATATTTTTTCTATGGGAAAGAGGTTCTGAGTTTCAAATCAGAAACACGAAGGTGAAGTGACTACTAAACTGGGTATTGTCTTTATCTTGAAATGCCAGCCTGATGGCCCAAGGTGAACAGAGCTTCCTGTGTCTGCTGAATGGTAAGAAAAATTAGGGATCCAGGGGCAGCAGAAAAGGGGACTCTGGCACTGAGCTCTGAGCCTGGGCCTCCCTGCCTGGGCCTGATCATCAGGACCTCTGCTAATATACATGGTGTTTTTGTGTAAATTGAAAAAAGCGTCCATGTGAGTGGAAGCAGCTCTGTGGATACATGGCTGGGTCAGCAGATACCACCTTTGGGCAAATTAGGAAAAGGCATTCCTTTCTCTGAGCAGATACAACTCTGGAACAGGGCACACACTTAATGAGAAGGGTACAGACTGAATTTTAGTCCAACTTGCCTGCTCGGCCAGGTGTCCTTGTGCAGTACACAATCTCTGCAACCATATGCAGTGGTCTTGCTGACCATTACCTAACATGGCTTCAGCGACCATGTTTTCCAAATTGGGAATTGGGGCACATGATTTGACAGTGAGCCCAGCAAGGCGTTGTGTCACAAAGCAGGAGATCATTTATGTGGCAGTCTACAACCCTAGAAGCACCTAAATAAGATCATTCAAAAATAATTTTTAAAAATATTTCATTTAAAAACCACGCAGAATTGGCCTTTAAGGGTGGTACATTTCCCTTTTTGTTGCTGTTGTTGTTTTGAGACAGAGTCTCACTCTGTAGCTCTGGCTAGAGTGCAGTGGCATCATCATAGCTCACAGCAACCTCAAACTCCTGGGCTCAAGCAATCCTCCTGCCTCAGCCTCCCGAGGCAGGGACCATAGGCATGCGCCATAATGCCCAGCTAATTTTTTCCACTTTTAGTAGAGATGAGGTCATGCTCTTGCTCGGGTTAGTCTTGAATTCCTGAGCTCAAGTGATCCTCCCGCCTCAGCCTCCCAGAGTGCTAGGATTACAGGCGTGAGCACGACACCCAGCCTGCATGTCCCATTTTTAATCAGTGGCCTGGGAATGACAGTTTGGAGATATTGGGGCCACTCGGTCCACTCACTAGAGGAAGAGTGGTAAGAATTGTGTCAGTTACTGTGACACCATGCAGTCTTCCGGGGGGCATGTCAGTTGTGAGAGTTCACTGCCATTTTTATATTTTTGTGATTTAAAGTATTGAATAACAATTGGTAATATCATATGTACTAAAATATCATTTTTATCATTTTGCTCCCTTTGGGAATTAGGTTCTTAAACTTTCAAAATACTGTTAATCCTGATAGTTGAGACAGATATTCCAGATAAGTGACATCTACTATATATTAAGTCGGGGACATCCTAGAAAACCTGAGATGAGTGGTGGTCAAATCCCTGAGCCCAGCCTCTGCCCCTCCGTGCTCTCGTTCCAGGCCCTTAGAGCCTCTCTCATCGGTCCTGAAACCCACCCTGGGCTGCTGGACACCCAGGCCAATGGCCCCTCGGGCAGGCTGGACGTGCACATGGCCTGGAGGCCCCCGAACCCTTCATCCCTCCAGGATCCTCACCAGCACACAGATGTTCATAGTCTTCACAGCAGTCCCCATGCCGGGGACACCGCCGGTCACACTGGCAGGCAGCGTCCCGGTTAAATTTCTCATTACAGCGAGATGCGCATGACTCCATTCTTCCTATGGGCAGTAAAGGTCACAAACTCAGCTCTGTGGGAACCCTATTCTCCTCCTAACAGTTACTCTTGCGGGAGGGTCCACAGACAGGGGCAGGGGCACACCTGGCAGGGAAGGGCATTGCTCTCGGTGCAGGAGAAGTGCGTCCACAGCCTCCCAGGCACAGCATAAGCCTCCTCCCACCACCCAACACCCACCAAGTATTTCAGGGCTCATAATATAGACCAGGATCACAAACTCAAATGCCTACTCGGATTAGGCCTGCGCATAAACAAGCAAAGAACCAGGGTGCGAGGCAGTAAGAAGAAGTGGGGACTGTGACAAAATTGGTATTAATAGCAATGCCCCGTCGGAAGTTTGCAACCACCACTCAGCCCAGCCGATTGCTGCCATGCTGGGATGTGGGCTCAATGTTCCCAGAGTCTCCAGGTTTTCAAAACAAGACTTCATTTTTATGTGAAAATTTCCAAGCTTTTAAAACTTCAAGCAGGCCAAAGAAAGAGATCTGTGAACTAGATGCGGCCCACAGGCCACCACTCACCTGCCTTGTAGAGGAAGGGAAGTCACTGCCGCCCCAGTGATGCCACCTGCCCTCTCCCCTCTGCCCTTGCTCTCATCCCATCCTTTTTCTGTTCTTTGCTTCTCTGTTCTTCCCACCCCTTCACCTGGTCTCCTCCGCACCCTATTTGCCCTGCTTCACATCTCTGCTCCCTCCAGGCTTTGGAATGTATTCAGCGGAGTGAGGCGGGTGTGGGTGACAATCGGGCTCCGGCACAGGTTCTGTTATGTAACCACAGACCGCATCCCCGACTCCAGCCGAATGGTTTGCAGAGCAAGCTTTTGGTCACAAGGGACGTAAGACAAGATACTTTGAAAGGAACAGTACAAACCCACTATCCACTCTGGGCTTTAAGGGCGCTGACAGAGTCTTTGTTCCATTTGAGGTTCCTGAGGTTTGGACTTCGTGAGGCCTGGGTGTAGGGGCCAGGCTGTGCTCGGGGACAGTGTTGAGAGCAGTGTCAGAGTTGCCATCGGCATCAGACTGTGTCAGTGAGGAAATTGAATCCTAATCTGGACCAGGGTTGAGGTTAGTTAGATGAAGAGCCACAGTTAGGATTTGGGCTTGAGTTAAATTTATTGATAAAGTAATAATTTTGTATTGGTATTCGGGTAAGAAATAGGGTTAAACTTAAGGTGACATTCAGGGTGCGGGCATGTGTTGGGATTAGAAGAGGAGAAATAATCCTAGTGTTGCCTTAGATTATGTTTGCAGCTTGGTTCTGCTTATGATTGGACACAGGTATAGTATCTCAGTTTAAGCCTGGATTGGGTCGGAGATGAATACTAGAGATACGGGTTTAGTTACTGGTTTGGATTCTAGGATTAGGGTTTATTCTGTGTTAATGAGAGATGTTGTAGCAGAGAGGTTAAGAATCCAGTCTCTACCACCCACCTGCTAAATTTGACTGGCTTTTATAAAAAAATAACAATAAGAACCTAGTCTCTGATGCCAAATGGCTTGAGGTTGGAATTCTGGTTCTGCTGCTAACTATGTGATGTTGGCCAAGTTATTTAACCTCCTGTACCTCTGTTTTCTTATCTGTAAGAGTGGAATAATAATGGAGCCTATCTCATAGAATATTTATAAGAATTAAATGAGTCAATATTTGTAAAGCACTTAGTACATCATGACACATAGTAGCGCCATCTAAGTATTTGTTCGGGAAATAAACATTGGCGATATTTCGTGCCCATCTTCAAAGCAGCAAGTGTTCAGACTGGGTGGAGCAGTTTTCCCCGTGGAGTGGCCCTGTCGACATATTTCATTTAGTTGACACCCTCCCTGGGATTCAGCTGGTTTGGGTTGTCAGTGAATCTATGTTGCTGATGGTCCTGGCTAACGTCATCACTATGGGTCTGCATTCTTTACATCAGAGAGGTGTCAGGTCAAGGTTAACCCAGTTTAACTTCACATTGTCTACAAGGCCCCCAAGATAGCCAGGAAGGCAGTACTTTGGTCCAGTGGATCTTCTCTAAAAGCAACCAGACCCAAGGCCATTGTTCCTTCAAGCCCATAGGAACTCCTCTTGAATCTTAAATGATGCTCCCTTGGAACCTGAAATGCAAAAATCTTAAGGAAAAATTTTCACCCCTTCAGCTGCCTGCTCAGTCGGCTGGCAGTACACCCAGAATCCAAAGGGAGAGAATTCAGGCGAATCAGGGCAATGTTTTTAATGGGCCAGATCAGCAGAGTCCAAGGAAAGAATTCACTCCATTCCAGCAGCTGGCACCGGTTGAGAAGAGCTGAATAGCCAGCTTGGACAGCTCAGGAGAGCACCCCCGCCCGCCCAAGCTCAGTGGACTTTTTCATCTCTGTTCAAGAGCTTTGTCTCCAGCAAGAGCCCCTTGCCATGGGTTTCTCACATCTCTCTGTGAGCTTGGTCTGCGTCAAGGTGACCTTGGGATTTCAGGGTGGGGGGCAGGGGTGGGTGAGACTTTTCCCCATAGGCGCCTTGCTGCGCTGTTCTGGGGACACTCAGATGACTAGTCACCCTGACTACTCACTCCAGCGCCCCCACCCCACGCCTCCTGTTGACACAGACGCTCTGTGTAAGCCTAGAGCCCCAAGCCAGGCGCCTGAATCACTGCTTCAGCCACCTGCCGCCCCGTCCCTCTGCCTCGCCTCTCTGACTCTCTCTGCCTTTCTTCATTTGGGCCTTTCCTCTGTCAGGTTCAGATGCTCCCTGCATTCCCCATGAAGAGCTGAGGTCCTCTGTGCCACCGTGAAATGCTAAATTTCTCTGTACCCTATAAGACTTCAATTTGCCAGAACATTAGTCCCTATGCATACTTCAAGAGAGCTTGGTTCCAAGCCTGAGTGGACACAGTGTCCCTATACACCAGCCCTCAGCCCCTCACACCTGTGCCTCTCAGGGGCCCCAGATGCTGTCTCCATGGAGACCTAGACATCCAGGAAGCTTCAGTTCCAGGACCAGCTTCCTTTCCCCATTCACAACCAAGAAACAACCAAGGTCCTCAGCAGATACTCAGCTCGTAAAAGAGGATGTGAGGCTAGCAAGGACTCCCCGATGTGATTCATATTCTTGCATCTAAGAGGGTTTGGGAGAGTACAGACAAGAACAGAGCCTCTTCCCTCCTAACCCACTCGACCTTCACTTCCCGTCCAACCCACAGCTGGATCAGATCTGTGCTCTCACGCCCCAGCAGCAAGGGCTCCACCTGCACTTCTTTTTTGTTTGTTTGTTTTTTTAGAGACAGGGTCTTCGCTCTGTCACCCAGGCTAGAGTGCAGTGGTGCGATTATAGCTCACTGCAGCCTCCAACTCCCGGGCTCAAGCCATCAGTGATCTTCCTGCCTCAGCCTTCAGAGTTGCTAGTCCTACAGGCACATGCTACCATGCCCAACTAATTTTTAAAATTTTTTTGTAGAGATGGTGGTCTCATTATATTGCCCGGGCTGATCTTGAATTCCTGGCCTCAAGCAATCCTCCTACCTGAGCTTCCCACCGTGCCGGGATTACAGGCATGAGCCACTGTGCCTGGTCATCCACCTACACTTCTGAAGCCACTGTTGCCTCTGCCCTCAGGGAAGTCCCCGCAGGGACCAAATATCTGGTGGTGCTCTCCTCTCCTGAGGCTGGGATATCCCAAGCCCACCAGCCATGCCTCCACGCTAGGCCCTCACATGTTCTCCCTGCTTTCACACCACTAGGTCTGAGGATAGAGGCTCCCCACCCTCCCTCACTCTCTCCACTGCCTCTCCGGCATCCAGGGCTCAGGCACAGCTGATTCCTAGGTAGATGTGCACAGTCCCATCCAGTGCTGGGAGGCCTGGGAACAGCATTTTGCTCCAACAGCATTTTGCTCCAACGCAGGAATCCCATTAAGAGTCTCCTAATCTACAACCTGATTGAAAATGGTCCCAAGAGTAAGTTTCTCCCAGGAATATTTGCAATCACAATCATAACTGAAGTTCCAGTTCACTGAGATCTCATTCCACACTGGATGCTTCTCATATATGGCCTTATTTAATCCTTACAACAGTCCCGTACAGGAACAACCCAGGTAGGTGGGATGGACATCCAGCTCTGATTCTCTCCCCTGTGGGCAGAGGAGGACCCTCCCCACACTCCTCAGCTCAGCCCCCTCCCTTGCCAAACCTTCCTGCCCACCCACTGGCCAGCGATTAACACATCAGCATCTCTATTTTGCATAATCACTGAACAGGAAAGTGCTCCTGTTCCTCTGCTGGTTCCGTGCAGCCCCTGCACCATCACACCTGTGGACCAGGTCCCTTCTCTTCTTTTTAGTTCCCCTGACCCTGGGACAGAGACCCATTCCTCTGGCCACTTGTACAACCCCAGATAGGACATGGCTCACCTCCTGGTCAGGGGCCCTTCTGGTTTCCACCTGAGCCTGCCCATCTCCTAAGAAAGGTCACACTCAGACAACCTCACCTGTCACCAGACTGTGGAGGGAGTGACCAAGGGCAGCCAGGCCACTCACCCCAGCAGGCCCCAGCCCCAGCTTTAGATCATACAGTGGCCACAGAAAACAAAACCTTGGTGAGAACAAAAGTCAAGCTGGACTAAGGGACATTGGGGCTTACCACCTCAGAGGTGGTAAGAAGGGGCTTCCATGAAATCAGTCCTTCAGCCCTGCAACTCCCTCCACACCATCCAGCCCACTCCAGAGACGAGTCCTGCACCCTGGGACAGGGCAGGCCAAGAGTGCTCCACAGCTTTAGAAGAGAGCTCACCCTCCCTGCCCCACTACCCTACCCTCTCTCTACCAACCTCCCCAACTCTCTGCTTGTTTAGCAAAGACCTCTACCCACCCCCATTCCCATGCCCACCAGATAGTGACTTACCAACCCAGGCCAGGCCACAGAGCACGGCCACTATCAGGGGGACACAGGCCCTCATGGTGCCCCGTTGGAGGCCAAAAGGGGAGTGGCTGTTGGACTTTCACTAGAGTCAAGGTGAATGTCACAGCTCTCAAATGAGCCTTATTCCACAGGTCGATCCTTTTAAAGACATCAGGACTTGTGGATCTGGTGTCTCCAGATCCTCCCAGGAAGAAAAAGGGAAGGGAGGGACCCCAGGTGGATAGGAGGTGGAGGGGAGGCGGGGCCCTACAGCTGTTTGAAGCCAGAGGGAAGGTGACTAAGCAGGGAGGTAATGCCAGATGTTTGAAACAGGTAATGCTAGCTGTTTGTAGCTAGAAAATAGGTCATTCAAGCAGGTAGGCACAGAAAGATGGGCCTAGTTTGGGAGGTTCTTTGTCCAAACTGGGGACACCCATGGGCTAATCTTTGGGTGATCCCTACCAAACACCCACCTACTTACTAGTCTCAGACCTGACCTTCCAAGGGGCCACAGATTGGCTTCATCTTCGAATTCTTAGTCCTTAGCATGGCACTGACACATAGTAAGGTGATCGTGCCAAGTCTGACAAAAAGTAAATGCCCAAGCAAAGGTTGGGGTCATTGGACAGGGAGACATAGGAGGTATGGGTCAGAAACGAGAGCTGTTCTTGTTACCATCAAGCCCAACACAACTAAATCATCCCGAACTATTAATATTATGCAAATGACTCTTATTGAGTCAGCATCTCAGGTTTACATGTTTCAGGTTCTCCCAGGTTCTAGTTTATGAGGCACGGGAAGGGCAAGAGCCCTCTTAAAGGCAACCGAGGGATGACCCTTCCTCTCCTGGGAGCCCAGGGTCTCGCCCCGCCTCACCCCTCCTTGAGCCCTCCCCCTCAGGGACCCCTCCCCAGTGAGAGGGGTGGCTTCTCAGGGTTCCTTTGTTTCCAAGTTGACAGAAGAGGAACAGCTCCCTGTGGCTTTCAAGTTTTCCCCCCAAAATAAAGGTAAAACCTGCTAAGTAAAATACCCTTTCCAGAAAGAGGCACTGCCTGGGGATTCTCAGCCCTCTCAAAAAAAAGAGAAAAGTATCAAAAACTATCATATAAAAAGGCAAAATTGATGAACAATGGAGACCACTCTGTAAGTGACTGTATCTGGAGGTGGGGAAGTGGAGCATGGGAGCATGTCTTCTTCATCCCCTGTAGTTTAATAGAAGTTTCTTTCTCTCTGGTCTTCAGCTTTCTTGTCTGTGAAGCGATGGGGTTGGATCTGACAAACCCTCCCCAGTTCTCAGACTTTAATCTTGAGGTTTCCTGCCCGTGCACCAGGTTGAGTAGTTACTGTTGGGTTAAGGAGATTCCCCCAACTCTTTGCTGTGTGGAAATGAGACCAAATGTGAGGCCTCAGGGGTGAAGGACAAGCCACCCTTGCAAGGGACTCATGCCAGAAGTACAAAGGAGGACTGAGCCTGGCCCTGCTCCCCGGGAAGGAAGCTGGTTAAAGGGAGTAAGGGCAGAAACGGTCGCTTCATTTGCATAGGTTTCATTTGCACAACTCACAAGTAGGGAGCTGAGCCACCGCCAGCCAAAAGTCTCATCCTCCCTGGATCAGCACCTTGAGAACATGTCAGGAGGGTCACTGGTTGGGCTAGGAAGCAATGATGCCCAGAGTTTGGCATTGGATGGTCTGTCCCTTGCAAGTGCCCAGCGGGGTGGACCCTGGCTGAAGCCAAGCTGCAGAGTGGGAGTGCAGCCTGGCCAGGGCTCCCCTTTTGTCCAGCTGAACTGGCCATGGCATGGAGTTTTGAGGGCAGGAGCTCTTCCCTCCATCAAGGGAATTTTAAGTCAGGAGCAAGGGTGGGAGCTGGGGAAGACAGTTGCGACTGACCACATAGAGCCAGATGGATTGTCCGAGGACCCAAATGTTTCAAACTGCTCTCATCAGCAAGAAGGCCGACCTTAACAACTACCACCAACACCGACTGAGCACTTACCATGTGTCACACATGAAGTGTGTGTGTTATCTCACTGTATTTAATATGTGTTACCCCATCGATGCTCACTACAACCTTACTAGGTACTATTGTTGTCTTCACTTTACAGATGAGGAAACTGAGGCATAGAAGGTTAGGAGATGTGCCTAAAAGCACACAATTAGTAAGTTATGCCACAGTGCTTCAAACCCAGGTCCATCTGACCAGAGGTCATTCTTGTAAGCACTGATACCCTGTTGGCCCACAAACATCACACTTTCAAGCACCACTTAATCATGTCTAGGTTACTATGCAAAGGAGTCTAGCTTCAGATTCATTGGAATTAAAGGGATCTCAGTGGCCATCTAGTTCCATTTCTCATTTGATGTTGCAACCCCCTAAACAGTCCTAGGGGTCATTGAAATGGTTTTCCTGCCTCCACTTCAATGCCTCTGGTGCTGGGGTGGGGGCATTGGGTCACACCCTCTCAAGGCTGCTCATTCATACCACCCCTTCTCCCAGACCCTAGGACTCTACAACCTGACACATGCTGACGTAGGCAAAAGTAGGTAGGACAGTGGGAAAAAAATCCATTAAGCCAACGAATGAACATACACCAATACATTCATGCAAAGATGCCTCATAGATAAACTTAGACAGCCATAAATACGGACACGGATACATTCAAGTGTATTTCAAACAGCTTTCTCTTCCCTGCTGGCCTGGTCTGGACAGAGAACTCTGCTCCTCCTCTTTCTCGTTCTCCCCCAGGTAGGTTCTCACATGGGCATTCCACCCTCACACGCTTCCCAAGGAGCCATAGTGGGGACCACCTGGCAAAGGGGGAGTCCCAGTAGGCTGGGTTCCAGAGAGCTGAGGCAGGGAGAGGGTAGAGGGAGATGCATGGTGGATGGGATCCCAATGATGAGATACCAACAGAGATGCTGCTCTTATGGCCTCCGCAGAGGTTTGGGAGGTTGGAAGAGGGGGAAGCGGAGAGGGCAAAGGTCCAGGAGGCAGTCAGCTGTCAGAGATGTAGGGAATGGAAATTCTATTGCCAAATATTTATTGAGTGCTCACTATATGCCAGGCGCTCTATTGTTATTGGATTAGCAGGGTTCAGGCCGGGCTGGAAAACGCTTCCTGGAACTGATTGGTTTCTGGTGGAACAGAGGACAGATAAGCCTCAGCATTAGGCCATTGTTTGAATTAGGCCCCACTGATCTCTGGGCTACCAGGGGTCAGGAGTCTGTCAGGATCATCAGACAATGAGGGAGACTGGCCCAGGGGACTACTGAAGAGGACACCTGCCCAGGCCAGCCTATTCCACCACACTTGTCCTCCTGCAAAACCAAGGCCAAGTCATTTCAGCAGAGGACCTGAGCCTGCCCAGCACAGGTGAGGCCTGGACTCACCTCTGAAGGGGACTCTGGCACCTGAAGTTGCTGGATCTCCACTCTCCGGCCCACTGCGTCCTGGCCCTTGGGGGAGAGGCCAGGGATAGTCACCCACATCTGATCTTACTGAATGTGTCTTAGAAATGGCTCCATGTGTGATTTCTTTCCCCTTTGCTTTGTACGCTGCATACCACATCTGTGTGAACAGGCTTTTGTCTGAGGGTGTGGGCAGCCCTGACATCCAGCATCAAGCTCACTGCTGCCTGGGCATCTCTGTCAGACCTGCCCACGGGCCCACCCGTGGCAGAGTCCCAGGCTGTGCTTCCAGTTCTGCAGGCCACACCCCATGCTGTCTTCAGCCTAGAATGCCCTCTCCTCACCGGACCTGCTCAGCTGTCCTTCTCCTACTCATCCTCCCGCCCCAGGGCAGATCCACCCTCCCACAAAGCCTGGCCTCCTCTGTCCAACCCACAGGATTGCTCTTGCCTGTGGACTTAGTTCTTGACATTTGTCCCACGTGCTTTGACTCAGCACAGCCACCTCTGATAGATCTGTTGCTGCCAATGTGGTGTCAGTAAATCCCTACACCGTCATGTAACTTTTCCTCCATACTGGTTGTTTCCTTAGCTCACCTCTGAAGTTCCTTGAGACGGGACCCTGTCTCATGGGTCCCCTCAGCTGCTTTGCATTGCCATCCAATGTGTGTTAGAAAACTGTCACCATGTGCCTGTGGCCTGCAATGATCACTCATGAATGAATAGGGCACTGGTTGGCCTTCTGGCCCCACCTGTTGTTAAAGACTGGGGTGAAGATAATTAGCACAACAGAAACTAGATGGCTCCCCCATGAGCTGTGATGGCACCCATATTTGTATGTGGGGGGCCTTACAGGCAGTGGGTGGAAGTGGGGTCTCGGGACTCATCTCAAGGCTGCGTTTTCATAGCAAACCTGCCATTTTTAACTATATTGTGTTTATTTGGGCCTAATGTAAATTTAGGGGGACCTAACCCCCAAGCCACCCCTTAGCACCTCCACTGCAAAGGGGCAGCCACCAGCAATTTCTGAATCCAAAATGTCACAGATAACTCAACTTTAGGATCCCAAAATGATCACCTGCCTGCACTTCTGCCAGCTGTGCTAAGGTTTGTTTTACACTGCCTGACAGCGATTATAAAATAAAATTACTACTATTGCATGTCCTCAGACTCCACTGGCTTTGGAGAGTGTCTGCAGGCACAATGGGAACAAAGAGAAGGAAATGAGACAGGCAGACAGAGATAAGGAGGCTGAGAGACTGCGAAGGCGTGAGCAAGGGCAAGATCAAGAGAGAGAGCCATGCCCGAGGCTGGCCAGGAGCAAGGCATTGACTAGACATGAGGCACCTGGCCCACCCCTCGCCCCAAGCGTGTGGGCACAGTCAGCTGTATGCCAGGACTGACAGGAGCAGTTCCTGACCCATGATTCAAACATCTACAATCTGTCAAAATTATCATTATTGTACTAAGGTAGTTGGGTTATGAGAAATTTACCCCTTTCTCATTCATTCATTCAGCTGACCCGTGGTCATTGAGGGTCACAGTGTGCCAGACACGGTGCCAAGTAAAGTGGACACAAGGGCATGGACTCGGTGTCCGGAGGGGAAGGAAGATCACAGGTGAAGGGCATTTGCAGCCACAATCAGAGCAGCAGGGCACAGATCTGAGATCATCGCTCCTACAGCTAGACCACCCGGGGCTGAATCCCAGCTCTGCCACTTAACAGCTGTACAACTCTGGGCAAGTTCTCTAACCCTCTGTGCCTCAGGTTCCCCTGCAGATAAAAAAAAAAAAAGGGCATGTAAGAGCATCTTACAGGGCTGTTTTGAGGACCAAATAATACTTGCAAAGCTTTCAGAATAGTGCCTAGCATGTACCAAGACCAGGTAAGTATTTGTTCAAAAAAATCAGGCCTCACAAAGGGCACAATTTAGATACGATGGTTAGGAAAGGCCTTCCTGAAAAAAAATGACATTTAAAACAGAGGCACAATGCATAAGAAAGTGGAAACTTCTCCAAACTCTCCATAATGGGATATTTCTTTTATAATTCCACAAATAAATTTAAATTTTAAAAATGTGCACTCTCAGTATCTTCAAGTCTTAGGGATGGCCCCTTGATGAGTTGCATTGTCTGTGTCACCTGGTTTGGTCCCAAAGTGAACCACCTGTGTTCTGCAGCCGGAGGAGCTGTGCCTCGTTCCAAGGGGAGCTAAGAGCTATAGTGGGGAACAGGTCCATGGCTCAGCCTCCTGAGCCATGGCTCTATTTGATGAGATTACCCACAGCTGCCTGGGGCAAAGCCAAGAACCAGAGAGGAGGAGGGACAGAGATGGCTGACCTTCTCTGTGGGCCACCAGAGAGTCCAGCAGGCACATGCAGGCTCTCCCTCCAGCACTCAGGTTGCCCCTGCAGAGCTCAGCCCCAGCAAAGCCCAGCAGGTAGAAGGGGCCACCTGCCTTTCCCCCTGATTCCCACCCTGGGGTGTCCTTGCTCCCCAGGACCCCTGCAACACTCTCCCACCCTAAGTGATACTCTGGAGCTTGCCGCCTGATCATGCCATTAAAACTCTCCCTAATACCATTGCCTCAGGGCTCTTCCTTTCCTATTTTTCTTAACGTGACCATTAAAAGTATTAGTTACAATCTTCCCAAATTGTGTATCTACATAACAGGGGCCTTCTAGAGACAACTCAAGGACTAGAAAGCAAGCAGCCAGGCACTCAGGCAGGCTGCAGGGAGCAACATTTCAGGGTAGGGAACTCTGAGAACACTTCTAATAAAACTGCACTTGCAGCTGACTATGCCCCCCAGAGCAGTCTGGCTGGAGGCCACCGCTGGGAAGATGCTTGGAGGGGGCTGCACCCCTCTCCCCTTTGACAGCCTGAGCTGCCAAAGTCATAGACACAAAGAGCGGGAAGACATCCCCAAACACTTCTAGGGCTAACCCCTGTTTATAAATGAGGAAAATGAGGCCCACAGAGAGGAAGGGGCTGGCCCAAGGCCACATGGCTGCTGAGAGGCTGAGACTCCCCCTGCCCCAGCACCCTGCCTACCTGTAGCACCCTGTGCTACCTCAAGCTCTGGTTGACAGGGCACTTTTATGGATGGTCAAGTAGGCTTAAAATGTCCTGCTGTCAAGGCCCCAGCAAAAAGGCACCCTCTGTCCACCGCTGTGCTGGGGAGGGTCCCCTAAGTGACAGGAAAACCTGCATGGTCCTCCATTCAGCAACCGAGAACAGCTCTGGGTTGTCCACAACTCACACCCCAGTGAGAAAACCAAGACCCCAGGCTCCCTCTAAGGGCCAAGATCGTGGCAGGCAGAGTCAGGGCGAGGCCTACATGTCCGGCTGCCTCGGGGTGAGTGGTGAGACACAGCCGCCCTCAGCTTCTGCCCCACAGCATCTTCTTCTGATGGACTTGTCTGCCGCCGGCTGGCCCACCCTGGGGGCGCCGGGACTGCCCGTTTTGTTCAGAGCCCCCACGAGGCCCACGGTAAGTATTTGAAAATGAAGGAACATGGGAGTGGAGAGAGGGAGAAAGGAATTTCTATGCCTGGGTCTGTTCTCACAAGAGAAGAAAATGTGGGGTTCGGGGAGCTGTCATGGGGAGTGCCGGGGGCACGAGGAAAGGGCATAGCTGGTACACATCCAGTTACTTCATCTGCCCACCCTGTTATTAAGCAGTCACGTGCCCTTAGGCAAACCTTCTTGTGCCTCAGTTTCTTTGACTGTAAAACAGGGGTGAATATACCTGTAGTACCTATTCTATCATCAGGATAAAGATAAGACAAAATATGAAAGTGTGAAGATGAAAAAGGATGAAAACACTATTCAAATGTTAATTTACTATTATTGTGATAAATACTGTGATGTTGAGAGGTAGAGCAGCCAGAGGCCAGTGCATCCAGGAGTGTGAAAGCAAGTGGGCCCCCACCAGCTCGCCCCACACCCGGTGCTCTCAGTGCTAAATGGCAGGGGCTGGTGATCGATCTGCAGGCAGAGTCTGTCCTGCTCAGCTGGGGCGGGGAGAGAGGGGAGTGCTGGCTCCAGGGAGAGGCTGGAGCAGCCGGAGGGTCCTGTCTCCCAGAGAGCTCCCCCCCACCCTGTGTGCTGGAGAGGTGTGACACTCCTGGTGTGCACCCCACGGTTAGGGCCCACCCTGGCCCCAGCCTGCCCAGCTTCACAGGGAAGCTAAGGGCAAGGGGGAAAGGACAGGGAGATGTGTGTAAGAACAACCACCCCCCATGCTATTGTCCCCCACAGGACACACCCACACCCACATACAGCCCCATTCCGTCTCTGCTTGACTCCTTTTAGGTGACAGAGATCTTTAAAAGACTGACCTCAGGCCACACTCCCTTCCCTCCTACCTTCCTCTCAGTGGTCCCATGGACTCCTGGGCTGCTAGGGAACCTGAGAGGACCCCCCCCTGCCCTGCCCCATGCCCGGGCAGTCTGGGAGACAGGAGACAGCACAGCTGTTCAAGCATGAGGCCACCCTAAAGTGGCATCTTCCCTTCCCCTCCTGGACCTCCTGTCCTCTGGGGGTGCCCTGGGCCCCAGCTTTTCCCGCTCCTGGAGTCTGTGTCCTCTCGCCTGCCCTGGGTACAGTTCTCCTGGCAAGGCCTCTCCCAACAGGCTCACAAGGAGTCCTGCCCAAGAGACTGGGGCAGCTGGGGGTTGCAAGGTGGTGCAGGGCGGAAGGGAGGCCCACTCGCAGCCAGTTCCATCAGGACGTAGCTGTGGCCAGAGAAGAGGAGAAATGCCGGCAGAGGGCACCAGCCCCGTTGAGCTTGGTTTCTGTCAGTCACTGGGCTGGGCTCACCCTGGAGTCTGGAGGAATGGCATAGGCCCCAGCTGGCTGGCTGGTGCCTTTGTGAGACACCAACAGACAATGGGCTTAGAAGAGAAGAAAACCCCTGGACTCCTGACTCACCAAGGCTTGGGCCTCCTGTCCTGATTGCCCAGCTCCGGAAGCTTCCGTGCCCCATAATCCTCTACCCCACCCATGGCAAGGGAACTGGTTTGGCTACCCCTGCCACCTGCTCCATGTCAGCCTCTCCCTCGGCCTTCACCCGAGGCAAAGCTGCCCCTCCACCAGGCCTGGACATGGAGCTGTGCAGAGGCAGGAGCTGCAGTTCCACCTGTTGGTCACTAAGCTGGATGAGAATCATCACACCCAGTCATAGACGGAGGAACGAAGGCAGAGAAGTGTTCGCGGACTAGCTCAGATTCGTTTAGAGACGTGAGGTATAATCCCAGCTGCGCTGCCTCCTTGCTAAGGGCTCTGGCCCTTTCTGGAAACAGCTGGCACGTGTATCCATGACCTCCACATTGCTGAGAGGAGTCTGGCAGTGTGGAGGCGAGAGGAGGCAGGGGTGTGTGCTGAGCAGGTGTGAAGGTGCCATCCCAGCACCTGCTCTCCCTCCAGGTGTGGGCCCGCTGCCTCCACACCTACTCGGAGAGCAGCCATGGGCCTGCGTCTCTCTCAGGCACACAGTGTGCTCCTGCTGCCGGGCTCCAGGCAGGAGAGCAGAGAGGGCAGAGTGTTCACCCGGAGCTCAGCACGAGAGGTCCTGGCAGCAGCTGGTTCCCAGGGGACACACTGTAAGGGCAAGGAAGAGAGGACTTCACCCTAACAGAGGTTGCTGGGAACTTCTCATCATGGATGACAAATCCTGATTTCCTGGAAGCCTGTCAGGCCTCAGCAAGTGATAGGAAGCCTCGGCGTCTTCTCTGTCAGTGGCCACCCTCGACCCTCTCAGGCAGCGTGAACAACACCCAGCAGGCCAGGGTGTGCTCAGGCCAGGGGAGCAGGGATTGGAGTGAGGAGGAAGGAGGTGGAAAAGGCCAGATGCATCTGGTCTGTACTGGTGGTTACCCTGGCCACACTGAGGGCCTCCAGCCCTCCCTGAGGCAGGGCCCGGAGGCACATCTGGGCAGCACTCAGCCACTTTGGAGCCCTGCCTTGGTCCCAGAGACCACACCAGCGGTGGGGCGGGGAGCAGGTGGTGGGGCAGGGTGAGGTTGCTCCATCAGCCTCCAGTGGAGCAGGGTCTTGCCTCTCTGCCACACGCCCTGGGGCTGGCCTCAGAACACACATACTTAGTCAACCGACAGTAACAGGAAAGCTCCTCAGGGACCACCACTCCCCAGCTGCAGCCCTGCCCACGCCCAGCTGTTTATCTCAGATGCTCTGGAAAGAAAAACAGGACGCCCCGCCCCCCTACAGCCCTCCAGGGCCAAGGCCCTGGCCCTTGCCACACATATGCCACACACATGCAGTCGCTCTCTCTGCCCACCGTGAAACCACAAAGGCCTGGCCATGGCTGGACAACAGAGCCAGAAGCTCAGGATCTGGAAGGATCCTGGTGTGGAGAGCTCTCTATTGAACATGAAGTTCCCAGCGCCCGCCCTGCTCTCCCACCCACTCCCAGGGCCTCTCTGTCCCCATTCCTTATCCTTGGGCCCCAGCTCAGGTCCACTCTGAAGTCCTCCTTAGCTGCCAGTTATCACGGGGGACAGCTGCCTCCATGCCGCCCGCTCCAGGGCCTCGAGTCCACTCTGCGGAGAGCCCTGCCCAGCTGCGGCCAGCCTGTGGGCCTCTTGGCCCGACGAGCCCTGCCTTTCCCGGAGGGAAGTGCCTGCTCCAGCCCCAGCCCCTTCCTCATGGCTCCAGCTCCCGGGAGAGGCGGGACAGTTCCCGCTGATTGTCGATGACCTTCAGCTGCTGGACATAAGCCCAGGTGCTGGCTGGACTCCGGGTGCTCAGGGACTGCTCCGAGCCTGGCGGGGGGAGAGTGGTCAGGGAGGAACGATGACACTTTGTGGAAGCCATCCCTTCCCCTCCAAGGAGCACACAGCTTTCCTACCCTCACCACCACCCTGCCCCTCCCAGCCCCAGTGCCCAGGACTGCTGCCCGCCCACCCCACTGATGCGGGGCAGAGCAGCACACGGCCCAGAGCACAGGGCTGAAGGAAGCAGGTCCCCAGGGCTCCAAGCAGCTCAGCACTCCTAAGCTCAAAAGCAACTAAACTAAAGAATATTTTGTCATTATATATACGAATATTAGATATGAGGGATTTTAAAGGGGGTGGGGTGTGTGTGAGATCACAGTATTTTAAAAACCCAAAAAATGAATAACTCCAAATTCAGGATAGGGTAACCCCGAGTGGGGGGCTGAGTAGACAGTGGGAGCTGGGAGTTATTGTCAGTGTTCTCACACTGGGGTTGGTCCAGAGGTGCTCATTATATTATCAGAATAAGAGCATACCTAAAATAAAGCAAAGGGCCTGTGGGGACAGGGTGGCATGAACCACAGATGATCATTCCCACTTCGTGCAACTGAGGTCCAGTCAAAACAATGTAGTCTGGAGTGACAGTGTCTGGCTTCCAGCTCTGTCACTAACTCATCGTGTGGCCTTAAGCAAGTTACCTCAACGAGCAAGCCTGTTTCCTCATCTTTCAGTTGGGATAACACCGTCACCCACCCCACAAGGGTGCTGTGACGAGTTATCGGCATCACGTATGGAAGTGCCCAGGTACGCTAGCGACGGCTGAGCATTATTGGCACCCCCAGGTCCCGCCCCACTTACACGTGGAGATCCTCAACGCCTGGCCGTCCTCGTGGAGGTGGGAAACCCGGCTTCTGAGTGGCGAGAGAGGCACTGGTGGGGTGAGGGGTGGGAGACAGGAGTCAGGGCCGAGCCGGGGCCTCACAGAGGACGTGGGGGGCTCCTGCCCGGGCCCAGCCCTCTCACCGCTGCTGTGGCCTCGGCAGTGGTGCAGCATCCGCACGGCTCTGGCCATCATGCGCTGTGGGCAACACAGGGCATGAGGGATAAAGCCCCGTCCTGCCCTGGGCGGCAGCTGGGAGTCCCAGCTCCCTCTGAACGGGGGCTCCTGAGGGGCTGTAAGAGGTGGGGTCGCACCGTCTTCTCCCAGCACACCCAGAGGCCCAGCAGGGACCAGGCAGAGGAGCAGACGGAGGTCAGGAAGCGCTTAGGGAGAAGAGGGCTGCAAGGGGCTCTTGCCGAATGGGAGATGTTTGAGGCTGTCTCCCCAGCAGACCCCAGTGGAAAGCAGAGCCTCCGGTGCGCAGTGAGGAGGCAGGGGCTCTTTAACAAAAAGCATTCACCTTTATGTCATTGATAACAAGTTTAAGTTACCTCCCAGCCCTGCCCCCTTTCCAGGCCACAGTCACGTGCCCCCACCTATGCCAGCGGCAGACGCCCACTCTCCCGAACTCACCATCTTCTCAAAGTTGATAAGATTCTCCACTAGCGTGTGGTTTCCCTCGTGGATGAAGGTCATGTCTGCAAAGAGTTGGGTTTTGTTCACAGGTCCCCAACTCCTCCCCCTCCTGTAGCCCAGGAGAGGTAATAAGGAGAGGAGGCCCACCCTCCACACAGCTCCAGCAGCAGTGTCCTCATCTCACAGGCCCTCGCATGCCCTTCTCTGTCTAGTGTCTGAACTCTTCTTCCAGCCTGGGAACTTGTCGTCCACCTGTGTCATCACCCTGGCAGCGCGGGCGGTCGCACAGGTGGGGATGGACGGGAAGCAGCAGGGAGGCCAGCGCCCGCCCTTACCTTTCAGAAGGAGGGGCATGAAGGGGATGACGGGTGGGGAGAGCTTTGCCAGGGCCAGGCGGTACACCCGGTGGTTCCACGAGGGGTCCTAGGGGAGGAAGCCACAATGTGGGGTGGTCCCACACACCATAGCCCACCCCAGCCCCCAGCCAACCAAGGAGGGGCCCCACACCCATCCCCCCAGCGGACAGCCCCTGGCTCAGCCTCTCCTCAACCCCAGAGCTCAGCCTCTGCCCGGAAGCTGCTGCCACTGCTGCTCTGCGAGCATGTGGCTTCCTGGTCTCCCACTGGCCCTGAGGAACCGTTAGTCACAGGGGCCCCAAAGTTTCTTGGAAAGTCTCTGTCGTTTTCTACCTCTCTTTGTCCCCTCTCTCTGACCCTCTCTCTCTCTCTGTGTCCCCCTCTGTCCCTGTCTCTCTTTCTCTCTACCCAAAGGTGGGTAAATTCCTTTGAACCCCTTGAGCCCCATGAGGTGAATTTTTTTCTCAAGAGCTCCAGGGCTATGCTGATAAAGCACCTCTGCTCTAGTTCTCTCCTGAACACTTCAAAACCCTCAGAAATTCCTGGAGGTGGAAGGTTCCGCCCCCCAACTCTTCCCTCACCTTTTGTGCTAGTCTAGCCCACAAGCACCTCAGTGCTCCTGAGACACCGCTGACGGCACCGGCTCATGTGGGCTCTCAGTGCCAGGCCCTTGGGGTCCTGACGCTGCCCTGACACTGCAGAGCCCAGGACCAGACACCCGACACGCTCTGGCCTGTTCTTCACACAGGGTCTCCTGTCCACAGCAAATGCCCCCACACGTGCACGCATGGAGGGGTATAGTGCACCAGGCAACCCCATCCCAATGCCGAACACCCCATTCCTCAGCCAGCTCCCCAGTCTCACAGGCCAGAGGGAGCTAGGCCCTGGGCCAGGGTTGGGAACCCGGAAAGTGACTAAGGGCAGGCAGAGGGAGTGCTGGGAGCCAGAGTCAGGGTTTCTCGAGGGCCAGGCCAAGCCCAGCACTCACCAGCAGCCTTTCGAGGGCAGAGTACAGCTTCCGGACTTTGTGCGGCAGCCGCTGTGAAGGAGACACAGGTGAGCTGCCGCTGTCTGGTGGGGAGGCCCACCCCCAGCCAGGACTCCCAGGAGGAGCCGAGGCCTGACCTCAGGACCGGGGCCTCCAATCCCACCTACCTGCCAGGTGTGGGCCAGGCGGCTGATGGCCGAGTTGCTGAGGCCAAACATGACAGCAAAGAAGGAATTCAGATTCTTTTGCTCCTTAAGGCTGTGAGCAGAAGACCCAGAGACCCTCAGGGAAGAAGCCACACCCACGGTGCCCCCAGAAGACAGCCAGGCCTGGTCCAGGACAGGGCCGGTGCTGTCTCTGCTGGGGACCCATGCTGGATGGGGTGGGGACACAGGGGCTCCAGGGGGCATGGGGAACAAAGGGGATGGCGGATTTAGCAACACACTGAGCAGGGAGGGGCTTTAAGAAAAAACAGCCTCAGGACACTGGCCAATCTCCTTCCCCCACAGAAGGACTCACTGGGCCGCCAGCTTGATGAACTTCCTGAGCAGCTGGGCCCGCAGGCCGGGCACCGAGCAGAGACACAGCTCTGTGGCCACCCAGTACTGCAGCTCATTGAAGCGGCGCATGAAGCGCTCCAAGTTGGCAGTGGTGACGTCCCGGAGATGCTGGGGGCCCAGCACGTAGTGGATCAGCTCCACCTGGGTGGGGGCCACAGGGGAGGTCAGTGTGCCCCAGGCTGGGCGCCCTGCCTTCTGCTCGCCTCCCCCGTCTCCGCTTCTGCACCTGGTGGATACTGTTGAAGAGGTTCCAGTCGTGGTCCGTCAGCTGGCCTGCCAGGTCCTTGGCGCTCACCAGGTCCAGCCCCTCAGCCGAGCCCACAGTGGGCCCCAGCTGCTCAGGGTGTGGGGTCTGCAGGTGGGAGAGGGCTCAGGGGGGTGCCTGAGGAATCCAGGGGAAGGCACAGGGTAGGAGGAGAGGGTTGGGTGCAAAGACTCTGCGGGTAGTAGGATGGGGACTGGGGAGGGCAGGGGGACTGCAGGGAGTGGAGGGGCTTCTAAGGGGATTCCCAATGCTGGGGACCCCTCCCTGCAGGCACCTGTCCCCTGGGGAAACCCTAAGCAGGTCTCCTCTTTCTCCTTGGGAACTTCCAACCAGTGCTACCCCCATGATCTTTGGAATCCCCCCATCAGCTGAGGCCCGGTCCTTCCTCTCTCCACTGAAGACCCAGCTGTAGCCAGAGCCAGGCCCCTCCCTCTTGTCCTGTGACCCTCCCCCAGAACCCTCCCCTGCCATTCCCAGAGTTCCTCCCTGGGCCATGGCACCCTGCCTGGTCCCTACCAGCTTATGCACTTCCTGTGGGTTAACAACAAAGAGCCGCTCATTGAGCCCCAGGGATGTGGCCACACCGCGGGCATCTAGCTGCAAGCCAGTGGCATCTGCAAAGAGAACAGAGGTGGCACTGGGTGGGGGCAGGGAGAGAGGCCAGGGACCAGCTGGAGGCCGGGGTGGAGGCCCTGTTTGGGAGGTCCCTTCTCCCAGTAGTGGGGTTGGAGTTCTGGGCAGGTGCTCTAAACACACAGGTGCACGTGTCCACACATCCACACTGCCAGGGGCAGCACACCCAAGGAGGGTGAAAAGGGATTCTTTGTGACACAGGCAGACCTTGGGCAGGGTTTGGACCTCCCTGAGCCTTACTTTCCTCCTTCGTAAAACAGAGACAATAAGACTTGCCCTGACTACTTCAGAAGTCAAATGAAAAAATTTATACAGTGTCTATAAGTATATAATACATTAAAAAGCCCTTTGAAAATTGGGAAATGCCTTACATAAGTCTTGGTGTTGATTTTCATCAGCTCTTCGTGGACTGGGACTGTGTTTTTTGTCATGTTTGAATCCCCAGTCCCTTGGCCAGTGGCCTCCAGAGTCAGGTATATAAGTCTATCCATATGTCCAGGAAAAATATTAGTTCTTTTCCTTATATTTATTTTTCCTACCTGTTTTGCATTTCTATTTTGCATATAGCTTTAATAATGGTATTAGTGTAGTAACATAAGTATGATTTATAAACAAATATTCACATAGTGGGGGTTTCTAATAAATTATTGGTTACTGACATAGGTGTTGATCAAAGTGGTTTGGAGATCAGTGCTCTAAACCGTTCCCAGCACATAGTAGGGTCTTAATTGGGCAGCGACAATTCTCTAGGTGGCCACCAGAGGGCAGTGCTTCCCAGAGGCGAGCAGAGCACACGGGCGACCTGTCTCTCCCTACTGCCTGAGGGGAGAAGGCTTTTCTTTTCTCATCTCCACGTCTTCATTATTCTTATGCCCCTAATTCCAGTCTACGCTGGGCTCCAGCTGTCAGGCCTGTGCCCTTCGCAAAGAACAGTGGTTTTTAATGTCCCAAGTTCTCTGAAAGCAGATCTTAATAATCCTGCTGCTGCCATGTTCTGAACACTTACTGTGCCAGACTGTGTGCTAAGTGCTTTACACACATTAAGCTCATTTAATAGGCACCGCAGTTCTGTGTGACAGATACAATTATAGTGCTCATTTGACAGATGAGCAAATGGAGGCTCAGAGAAGTTGAGCAACTTGCCAGGGATCACACAGCTAGTAAGTGGCAAGTCTAAGATTCCTCGACAGATCTGGGAGTCCACAGTTTATACTCAACCATCAAGCTGATCTATTTTATCTGCTGTGGTATCTCTAGCTGTTAACATATTGCTAGTCCATAGCTGAGCCTCAAAAATGTTTGCCAAATGACTGAATGAAGACAACCTAAGTTCCAAGGCCAGCTACACTCTCACTTACTGTGTGAGCTTGAGAAATTGCTTAACACCCTTGAGTTTCAGCTTCATTGTCTGAAGATAGGATAAAAATACCTATATCTCATAAGATTGTTATTAGTTACGATTAAATGACTGTAGAGGAATAATAATAATAGTAGTAGCAGCCAGTACTTATGTATCACTATGTGCCAGACACCGTTCCAAACACTGTAACAGATTAACTCATTTAATCCTCACAATTCCTCTAGCAGGCAAGTCCTCATCATCCCCATTTGACAGGTGTTGGCACCCAGTGCAGGGAGATGAAGTGTCCTACCTGAGGACACACAGATAAGGGGCTATCAAATGCAGACACAGGCTCCAGAGTTCATGCTCCCATGCGCTACACATAAAAGCACATTGAACAGACGTCATAAACCTCCCATAAACACTGAATGTCATTCGCATTAGGAAGATGAGAAAGATGATGATAATGGTCTTAACCTGGGGGATCTGGGCATGGATCTCAGGGGGGCACCCTCCCTTGGGGTCTATCCAGAGACACAACTCACCGCCTGCAGAATTGACCTTCACCAGCACCTGCCCCTTGGTCCAGCCGTCCTCCTGGGCCAAGGCTGCCATTACCTCCCTCACCGAGGCCGTCACAGGCAGCTGCAGAGTCAGCACCGAGTGGTCTGGCCGGCAGATGTCGTAGGAGACTAGAGAGGACAACATGCTGAGCTGCGGGAAGGGCTTCCTGGTCTCCCCACCAGAGGAAGGGCTGCGACTGCTGTGCTGGGAGGGAGCCCCAAGAGGCTGAGCTTCACAGAGTAGGTGGGGAAGCACTGAGCCAGAAAGAGGGGTGCAGGAGGCAGATCTGCATGGCAGCCTGGGACGCTCCTCTGTACCCCGAGGAGTACATGTGCCACCTCACATGGTCTGGGAGGCAGGATGAGCATTCAGGCACACCGAGGAAAAGGGTGACAACAGTGGGACAAGGGAGGCAGAGACAGCAGGGTGCAGATGTCAGGCTATGTATGCCTGGCTGGCTCAGACCACCAACCTTTGTCCCCAACTTGGATGGCACAATTGCTGCTGGGGAGGGGCTCCTCCTGGCTGGGGAGCCAAACAGGCACATTCTGGGCCTGGGAGGAAGAGAAAAGAGAAAGTGAGGCTCAGACCCAGAGGAGAGCACGCAGGGAGGGGACAGTGAGGGCCCTTGTCACCAGGAGCATGGGCCGGCACAGCACTCACACCACCAGAGGGCTCTGCCTGCCACATTCACCTGAGCCGGGGAAGGTGCCTAGGACCAAGGCTCCAGGAGAAGAGACACAAGAGGTTTCAGGTTAGGGCCAGTCTGTGCCCCTCCACCTGTCTCCCCCACCCCAACCAAGTAAATTCAGAGCAGTTCTAATATGGAAACCCCGCAGCTGTTGATCCTGGTTTTCCCCTTTCCCTCCTTCAGCTACCATTCGCTGTGAGCCAGGCATTGTTCTAAGTACCTAAATATTCCCAACAGCCCTTTGGGAAAAGTACTATCATTTTTGTTTTGTGGATGATATAAATGAGGCTCAGAGAGGTTAAGTAACATGCCCAGGGCCACACAGCTGCTAAGTAACAGAGCTGGACTCCCTCCTGCCCTGCCTCCCTCTGTGCTCTTACCCACCAGCACTACTGTGTCAGTGGCCCTGCCCACCCGACAGCAGGGCGCAGCGCCCCAAACCTCTGCTGGTGGGGCAGCCCCTGCTGGTCAAAAGGCTCCAGACGCAGGTTTCTCTTCCACCCCAGACTGTCCTTCCAGACTCTGGTACTGACTCTCTTCCTCCTCCCAGCTCCAAATGTGGCAGATCCTCCAGGTTCAGACCTTGGCCCATGGTTCCTCCCTAGATTCCCAAATCTCAGGGCGCTCCGCAGAGCTCCTCACGGCCTCAGGTGCCGCCTGCATGTCCGTGAGTCTCAAACCCACCACCAGTGCTGAACTCTCTTCCAAGTCCTGGTCTCACTCCCCTCCTGGGCCTTCCAGGTCCGTGAGCCATCACCCCAAACTCAACACACCCTCCTTATCCCCTCATCCTGCCTCCCAGACCACTCCTGCCCAGCCTGTCATCCCGCTCTGTGGCTTAGGCTTTGAGACGGGTCTCAGCCTCCTCCCCCCAGCCCAGGCTAACTCCAGCTCCACCTGCCCGGAGGCCTCATCCCTTGTCTACTACAATGGCCCAGCTATTCTCCACGTCTCCCCCCAGGTGCCTCCAGCCTCCAGCCGCCTCTTCCAATCTGCCTGACCAGAGCCCAATTAAGCTTCCTAACTTAGCTTCAATGGTGGTCATTGTCTGCTGGATAAAGCGCAGGCTCTTTAGCTGACCTATTCCAAATGCAAATCAGACCTGGCCAACCCTTGGCTCAAATCCCGTCAACAGTTTGCACCGCTCTTAGGACAAAGGCCAGATCCCCTTCCCTGGCCCAGGGGGCCCTGCATGCTTTGCCCGATTGCTCTGTCAGCTCTCTCTCCCTCCTCCGGGGCTCCCTTCCCTCTTGGCTTTCCTGTCTGGAGCGCATACAACAGCCTGCCCCTGGCTTGGCTGTGAGCCCCACAGGCAGGTCTGGCTGTCCCCACCCACTGCTGCGGCATCAGCACTAGCCCAGTGCCTGGCACTCAAGGGCGATTCCAGGCGGTTCCTGAGGGTCGGCCGCGTGCCACGCGGCATGTGGGCACGGTGGAAGCAGAGGCAGAGGCCCTCGAGAGTGAAACTGGCCTTCTGTGGGATGTAACAGACAATGGCAAACAGAAAAAGCAAACTCCATGTGGCAGGAATGTTTTGAAGAAAATCATGGAGGACGCCTTGGGGGGAGTGCTGGGAGAAAGGGGACTGTGCCCTGGATGGGGGGATGGGGAGGGCCTCTCTGGGAACCCAGCATGTTGCCTGGGATTGGAACGATAAGAAGGACCCAGTCGGGCCAATAGCCAGACAAAGAACTGTCCAGGCTAAGGAACAAGCGCAGAGTCCCTGAGGTGAGAACAAGCTTCGCCTATAGAAGAGGAGCCAGCTGCAGTCTCCGGCAAGCAGGAGGGTGGGACAGACAGGTGGCTGGGCACAGACAGCCTGTTGGCTGGGTGACATGCCTGGATTTTACTCCCAACACAGCACTCCCCATCACCAACCCAGTCTACCTCCCCAGTCCTTTCTCCCAGCATTCCTCAACCAAATCTCGGCTCCAGCCACACCTTCTCCCTCTGGGCCCCAGCTGGGAATAGCCTGAGCCACCTCTGACCCCGGGGAGGGGCCTCGCCTTCCTCTGGGCTCCCACAGCACTGGCCACCCGGAGCCCCCTGGGCCTCAGAGGCTACCTCTAGCCCCGGTTCCTCATCTCCCAGGCTCTAACTGTGGGCATGAATTACCTCCCAAAAGGAATAAAGCCCCTTGGGGTGGGGAGGAGGGGTGCCACCTTAGACCTCTGTGTCTCCCCAGCAGGGCCTGGCCCCAGGTACCACAGGTAGCAAGGGCGTGGGAGGGGAACCTTCCCACCCATGCAGAGCCCCTCAGAGCAGGAACTGAAGGAGGGGCCCGGGTCCCAGGAGGAGCAGAGGGAAGAAGCTGGGGCCGGCCAGAGGTGACATCACAGGGCAGACACCTTCATCTGCGGAGATGCATTGCCACAGCCATTTTCCAACCTGTGGAGCAAGAGAGGAGGTAAGGTGAGGCCAGCTATCCCTGGGGGCAGGGCGGCCTTGGTGGGGTGGGGGGATCCCTAGAGGCTCTGGATCCCATCCCGCCCTCATCAGCGGCTCAAAGGCAGGCAAGACTTGGTAAGTATCGCAGGGAGAGGGGCCAACTGGGCTGTGAGCCCGGGCCCCTGGAGTCCGTGTTTTCCCAAGGCCAACACGGGCCCAGTGTCTCTGATGGGGCACTGCCCCCACGGGAATGTCTGGGAACCCCAAGGCAAACTCTAGGAACTGTACCGGGCGGGGCCGGCGGGAGCTGGCACTGGGGGCATTCGTTAATAAACGTGTGCCGAAGGGAGGGAGTGAGAACAGCAGGTGCATTCAGGATGCCAGGATGTGCGAATGAGCAGATGATGCATGAGGATGGATGGACACGTGGTGTGAGGGTGACCAGCAAGGGGACAGAGAACAACCCTGAATAAGTGGCACAGCCTGGCTCTGAGGCCAGGTGCTTGACCCCAGAGCGTGTGCTCACGGCCCCCGAGGAGTTGCGGACATGACGCTTAAGGTAGAGTCAAAGCTTAACCTGTGGTGCCGTCGCCGCTCCGGCCACTGCTCCCTCAGCAGGTTGCTGAGCCGCGTGTCCCTGCTCACCAGGTCTGAGAGTTTCTACAAAGAGCCAAGACTCACTGACATGGCCGTGGCTGCGTCCAGCCCGGGCGGCCCAGCCCAGCCCTGCCTCACTCCCAGGTACCTGCAGAAAGTTGGTGGCCACAGGGTCAGTGTGGAGCATGGAGCCATACAGGGCCACCCACTGGCTGACCAGCCGCAGGATCTGCTGTCTCTTGTTGCAGATGTAGGTGCTGCACTCCTGCTCGCTGCCTCCCGCGGGCTCCGCATGGAAGGTGGGCACCAGTCAAGGGAACCACAACATACAACTGGGCCACCCTCCACACCTCAGGCAAAGGAGGGGCAGGATGCCCAGGGCCCCCACACTAGCTGGGCCTGGCACGAGACCGGCTCTTCGGAGGGCTCAGCACACCCTCGCTGGCGAGGCTTACCCTCCACATGCCACCCAACCCTATGCACAACATCCCCCTGGGGCTGGGAGGATATTGGTGCAGGAGGGCAGCGCAGAGCTGGGCACTGGGCATGAAGACGCTGTGGGTCAGGAGGAAGTCGCTGAGGAACGTCTCTGTAGGGCAGGGGGCAGGAGGAAATTCAGAGGCCAAGTCTGGTGAGCACGGGTATAGGGACAGCTGGAGGGGCCCTCCCCACGTGCCGCCATGAGCAAGGCACCAGCAACGCCCAGCCCTGTGACAGCGCTCCCCCCAAGCCAAGAGCATAGGTAAAAGGACTTCCTGCCAACTGGCTGTATGGATCAATCCAGCACCTGATGAGGGCAGATGCCACATGTCTGGCCCTCTCCCAGGCTGCACTGAGCACCCAACGAGTCAGAGAGCAGGCAGGGTGGCTGCTGCCCATACCTGTGGGGTCGTGAGCACTGGAATCCGGCCGCATGGCCTCCAGCAGAAGCTCTAGGATCTTCTCTGGTGTGCCAGACATCACCGTATACCTAGGGAAACGGCTACTCCATAGCACTAACGGTACTGCTCCCCACTCCCACTCCAGGGCAGACATCAACAATCAATCACATCACTCTTCCCGATTTGCCAGCCCTCTCCCCACTTAGGGTAGGGGGAGGCTGACCCAGGGGTGCATCCTAATCCCAGGGGGCAGGGAAATGACACAGTGGAAGGGTGCAAAGACCGGGAAATGGAAGGAGAGACAGCAGGAGAGGCAGCAAGGTGGGCGTGTTACCGGTTCCTGCCTGGGGTTGGGGGACGCGTGGTGCCAGCGCCCTGAGAGGCTCTCTCCAGCACCAGCACCACTTTGCCATGTTCTTCCAGCCGCATGGTCTTTGCCTCCACGTCCTGCAGAACAGACACGCCCGGTGCTCAGCACACCATGGCTCTGCTCTGGACCCTTCATCCACCTCCTCCGCTCAGGACCCTGACCCCACGGGGGTCCCACAAAGGCCCTCTGCCCTTCGCCCGCCAGGCTTTGGCTCTGCCTCCCCTGCCTCGTGGTGGGAGCCCCTTCCCCCTGTGGATCCTGCCCCTGCAGCCTAGCCCCCACCCCCTTGGCCTCCCACACCCAGCCTGAGGTCACTGGTCCTGCAGAGCCCGCTCAGAGTGCCACGGGCTTCACCTCCTCACACACCGAGGGCTATGGTCCCCTCCTACCGTCTCCATCTCCTACCTTCCCTGCCCCTCACAGGCCCTCCCTGGTCCTTGCCCTACACAAATCTCTGGACCCGTGTCCCCGCCCACCCCCAGCAGCAGCACCTTGATGATGCGGTTGAAGTCCTGCTTGTCCACACGCAGGAAATGACAGTTGTCTTCTCGCAGGATGATGGTGGCTGCCCGGGGTGCATCGTTCACCAGAGCCAGCTGTCCGAAGTCATCTCCCTCGTGCAGCGTGGTCACCAGCCCCTGCAGCCAGTACTCCGTCACAGCCACCCCACCCCTAGCCCTTGCCAGGACAGGCCCAGGGCAGGGAACCCAGACAGGAGCCGGCAAAGGCACGGCCCATGAGGATGGGGACCAGGAAGCAGTTACCACCCAGGGAGCTGGGGCAGGAGGCTGGGAGGGCTTACCTTGCCGTGGGTCACCACGTTGACAGATCCCTTCCAGATAATGTACCACGAGGTGCCCTTGTCCCCCTGGCTGAACACTGAGAGATGCACAGCTCAGACACGGCCCTCCTGGCACCCGCCACTCCTCCTTCATGGCCTCTACCCACATCCAGGCCCTGTACCCAGTTTGTGGTCCCCTGCTCAACTTACACACGGTCCCTGCTTTGCTGTGGGGCTCAAAGAGCAGAACTGCAGCTAACTCCCGCTTCACCTGCAGGGCAGGGAGAGGAGGGTTAGCAGCCGCAAGTTCAGGTGAAGACAGGCCAGGCTAGGGTGGGGGAGGTTAGGTCCAAAGACAGGAGTGCTGGGGGACAGAGATGTGGCCAGGTCAGGTGTTTCCGGGATTCAGCAGAAGACAAAGCAAGTGGAGAAAATGGGCTAAAAGAGGCAGAAGAATTTTCAGGCAGGGCAGTGCTGGGGCAAGAAATTAGACTGAAAATTCCAGGTGACCAACAGAAGGGTAGGGAACTGCCATCTGGCCGAGCCTCCATGAAGTCACGAGAAGAGGTGATTCCTGGGGACAGGGCAGGACTGGGACAGGCGACACTGACCGAGTTGGAGAGGTGGGCCACAGCCTTGACATGCAGCAGCTCCTCAAAGATGAGGTCCAGCTCCTCATCTGTGCGCTGTCCTGGGCTACAGGTGTGGGAGGGACAGACAGGATCACGTGAGGAACTGAGGGCTTGGGGCCAGGGAGGAAAGCCACCCCACCAGCCCAGCTCAGGCTTGGGGCCAGACGGCGCCCCAGCCTCGACTGTTGTCACTAGAGGGCTAACCTTTACGGAGTGTGCACGTGTGCCAGAAACCGTGCCAAGCACTGTGCATGCATTGTCCCACTCCACCCTCGCAACAGCCCCATGACGCGGGCGTCACGATCCTCACTTGACAGAAGAGGAACTAGCACGGGATGCCCAAGGTCACCCCACCAGTAACCACTGGAGCTGGAATTTGAACCCAGACCTGCCCACAGATTCCAAAGCCCAACCTCTCTTAGCCACAACTGTGTCTCAGCATGGGAAGGGTCCTGAGAGACCCTCTGGCCCAACACCCTCATTTACAGAGGAAGAAGCAGGCTCAGTGGGGGTGGCGGGACGGCACCAGATCACACAGCGAGCCCACGGCAGAACGCAGGGCAGGGCTGGGTCTCCTGGGCCAGCCAGGTTCCCTCCCCTCAGCACCAAGTGAGGGATGCCCTTAGAGATGAACGTGAGACGCGATGGAACCTGAGTGCTGTGCGGGACCTGGGGTGGCGGGTGCTGGGCTCCCGACTCACGGCTTTCGAAGTGCCACTGTGAGCAGGGCATCAGGCCCCCGCTGCGAGAGCAGGGCCATAGCCTCAACCAACTCCTCCTCCATCTCATGAGCTCCCGTGGGCTCTGGCTCTGGCCCAGGGAACCGGTAGAATTGGGCATCCCGGTCCTGGAAGGTCCAGTCGTGTTTCACTGGGAAGCAGAGGCCCAGGTGTGGGGGAGGAGAGGAAATTGAGGCCGTGTGGGCATGAGGCCCCCACTGCAATGCCACTCCCCTCCGCACTCCCCACCGGCGCCTGCTCCCAGGACTGCCTGGCATGCCCAGCCCAGCACACCCCACCCTGGGCTTGGGCTCACCATGGCAGAGGGCACCTTCATCCAGCAGCACCTGGCAGATTCCCACGGCTTGGCTCCGGGAGTGGACCCCAAGTCCCAGAGCCAAGATGCCATCCACCAGCTCCCGGCCAGAGCAGCACTGCCTGTGGGAAGAGGGACAGGTAAGAAAAGGGAGAATCCAATGGAAAGAGGGTAGGCGGAGAAGACACGTCTCCATCAGAGAGGCACCCTCCTAGGCCTAAGCCTAGTTCTCCAGCTGGAAGCAGGGCTAGGTGCAGGCGCCTGGAGCAGAGTGGGAAAGGAGGGAACATGGTGGGGGCGGGAGAGGAGGTGGGCAGGGCCTCTACTCACCGGTAGAGCCTAAGATGGTACTTTCGGTCTCGGATGAGGTTCGGGCAGGTGGCCAGGAGGTGCCGATGCAGCTGCTTTCCAGCCCTGAGCACCCGCTCTGTGGAGGCCTTGGAGGGAGGAAGGGCAGAGCTGAACCCTCACGGTGCTGGTCTGTCGATCCCAGCTCCACCCCTCCCGGGCTCCTACCTGCTCCAGGCTCACAGTGAAATCCAGGGACTCCTCGCTGTTGGTGAGTGGTGTCTGAGGGCAGTGGGGAAAGTTTGCACATCAGTGTGAGGCCTCCCAACCCAGCTCACGGACACCTCCCCTGCTCCATCACTCTGACCTAGCCAAGGCCCCACCCCAAATGCACCCATTCAGCCGCTCATCCAACAAATATGCAGACATTCGCTGAGCATCCTGTGCCCCAGGCAGCTGCCTCTTCCCACCCTTCCAGCCCCATCACCAGACTGGACCTAAGGACCATACCCCCTGCAAATGAAAGCCCCAAGACCCCTGTTCTGCTTACTCAGGGCCCAGATATGCCAGGAACCCCAGTTAAACTGCCCCCGGAGAAGAAGCGAGGGAGCTGGAAGGAGCATGAGGGCATGAGATAAGAAGACCTGCAAGAGGCCAGGATGTGAACAGATAAGGAGGTCTAGGAATACCCGCTCCTGGGCTGGGGCCCCAGGCCTGGTCCCAAGGTTCTGTGCCCAACCTCAGGACCATGGGCAGGTCTCCTGCCCCCTGTGGGCCTTGGTTCAGCCTGGTAGTTAAAAACACAAATCCCAGAGCCAGACTTCTGGATTCAAATCCCTGCTCCTCCAATTACTGAACAAGTGATTTAACTGTTCCCTGCCTCAGTTTCTTTATCTATAAAATCAATAAAACACAATAATACCAACTCATAAGCTTCTGGAAGGATTAAATGAGTTAATACACATGGAATGTTTAAAACATTGCCTGGCATATGGTTGTATGTACATGTTAGCTATTATTCATCTGGGAAGCATAGGGTGGGGCTCTTGCTGGAGGGTGTCCTTCTTCTCTGAGATGCTGCTAGTCCGTATGCTGCAAGAGTGAGTCAGGCCGTGGCAACACCCAGGACTGGCTCAGGAGGACAGGCTTGATGGCAGAAACATAGGTTAACAAGGTTTCCCTGCCCTGGGTATCAGTCCAGCCACCTGGAACCCCCGGGCCTATCTACCCTGGTACATCGACATGAAAGCCCCTCACCACCCTTTTTTTCCTGCCACCTGAAAACTGGAGCTTGTGGACGTCTCTTGACAGGATGCCCTGTGAGCACTCCCAATGGCAGGATACTTTGCAATTTACAAAGCATGTCCGCCTCTTTGATTTCACTGGCACCTATGTAAAATAGTACTACAGAGGGTTCTACAGTGGCTCACGCCTGTAATCCCAGCACTCTCAGAGGCCAAGGTGGGAGGATCGCTTCAGCCCAGAAGTTTGAGACCATAAGGCTCAAACAATAGTGAGACCTATCTCTCCAAAAAATGGAAAAATTAGCCAGGTGTGGTGGCACATGCCTGTAATCCCAGCTACTCGGGAGGCTGAGGCAGGAGGATCGCTTAAGCCCAGGAGTTTGAGGTTGCAGTAAGCTATGGTGACTCCACCGCACCCTACCCTGGATGGCAGAGCAAGACTCTTGTCTCCAAAAAAAAAATTTAGAAGAAAATATAGAATATCTTTAACAGTGAAGTAGGAAAATATTTCTTAAACATAGTATAAAAATGCAAATCATAGGGGGAAAAGTTATTAAGAATGACTACATACAATGTTAAAATTTCAGCTGGGCATGGTGGCTCACGCCTGTAATCCTAGCTCTGGGAGGCCAAGGCAGGAGGATTGCTTGAGGCCAGGAGTTTGACACCAGCCTGAGCAAGAGCGAGACCCCATCTCTACTAAAAATAGAAAAATTAGCCGGGCGCAGTGGCGCATGCTTGTAGTCCCAGCTACTCGGGAGGCTGAGGCAGAAGGATCGCTTGAGCCCAGGAGTCTGAGGCTGCTGTGTGTGAGCTATGATGATATCATTGCACTCTAGCCTGGGCACAGAGCAAGACCTTGTCTGTCTGTCTGTCTGTCTAAATGAATGAATGAATAAATAAATAAATAGTAGATAAGTAAATAAATAAATAAATAGGACCAGATGTGAAATTGGCAGAGCAGGTATTGGCCGTCCTCTGTGACTTACAAGGAAACAACAGTCTTGAGGGGAAGTGCCTGTGTAACTCAGGCACACATACTCAGATAGCCAGACAGCTATGGATGAACTCAAACTCCCACCCAGCAGTGCTGGCATTCTTGGTCCCACTCCGCCCACCACACCTTCCCCTTTCCTTTTCCTTCCCCCTTTCTCTCCCCAGCAACCTCTTTCCTGCCTTCCCATCTGCCCTCAGGTCTCTAAAAATGACCTGGCTGGGGCTCTGGGGTACAACCAGTCCAGGTCCTGGCAGGGCCCTGAGCACAGGCGTCCTGCCACTGTGTACCCAGGCAGAGGTCTGGCGTGCACAGGCGCCTGACCCAGGGCTGGGCGGAAGTCACTAGGTGTCCCAAGGGTATCCCTGCCCGGGTCATGGGGCCCAGCCCAGTGCCAGACACGGAGCCCTGGAGACTGAACGACAGGAAATGAGGAGGAGGAGGAGGAGCTGGGGAAGGGAGGAAGAGCAGGAATGCTACCCAGCCAGCCCCCTGTGTCGGAACAAACAGTGCCTGAGTGCTAATGACTTGTTATTGTTCATGTCAAAATGCGCAGGTGGCCCCAGTCCCTGCCCCAACTCCCTTTGGTGCCCATGACCCAGGCTCCAGCACCAGCTCCCTTCCTGGTATTATTCTGGTCTGGGAGGGCAGGTTAGCAGGGGAGGTGCCAGGTCATGTGGCCAGGCTGGTCATTTCCTGTCCTCCCCCAGGGAATGCGCACAAGGCCAGAGACCAGGGCCCTGGCCCACCAGCGCCGAGAAAGGGACCTTAAAATGAGATCCCTCTCATTTTGCCAAGGAAAGCAGAAGCCCAGAGAGATCGGTAGGCTATCCAGAGTCACACAACTACTTAGAAACGTAAGATTCTCCTGCTACTGGTGCCAACCCTGGAAGTGGATTTGCATCCCATTCCACAGCTAGAGAAAAGGAAGCTCAAAGGTTACATAACCTGCCCTAACAGTTGGTAAATAGGGCACCAGGACTCATGCCGTGCCTGTCTGACTCCCTAGCCGTGCTAATCTCAGCACTATGCCCTGCCGTTCCTGTGTCCCCTGGACACAGAGGCAGTAGAGGCATTCTGCCCTCAGAAAGTTCCAAGGGCAGGTAAGTTTGGGAACTGCTGGGTTAGACAAAGTTAGATAGGCTTGTCATCACAGCCCCTCTGTGCCCGAGAATGTTCGTGTGCATGGGAACCTCCCGGGACGGGGCAGGGGAGGGCTACTACGCAGGGGCAGTGGACAAGTGTGTGGGCTCCAGAGCCAGATGCTTGGGTTCAAACCCTGGCTGTCGATCACCACCTGGGTGAGTGACCTTGTGCTGATTACTGAAGCTCTCTTCAGTTTCCTCGTCTGTAAAGTAGGGTTGATGATGGTAACAGTACTACTCCACAGGGCATAAGGATCAAATGAGTTAATAATATAAAGCACTCGGAGCAGTGCCTGGCTCATAGCAACTGCTTCGTAAATGTTAAATGACGTGATCGAACTGTATTTCACGAAGGGCCCTATTACCCAGACACAGTGAAAAACTGCTGTCCCACAGCGGACCCTGTCTCTGAGCTGATGACTGAGTGTCAGCACTCAGTGCTGACATGACTGAGGGGCTCTCAGTCGGGAAGATGCAGCTGGTACAGGTCAAGGGGAAGGTCCTTGCCCACCTCCTCCTTTCATTCCTACACGGGAAGGACTCGAGTGGAAGAGGAGGCTAGCTCCCCTGGCACCAGCACTGTCACCTGCCCCATCCTCCCTCCCTGTCAGAGCTGGGATGGAGGGGCAGGTACAAAGCTAAACAGTGTGGGGACCCGTTAGACCAGTTCCCTTGGGCCATGGCTAAGGTCCCAGGTCAGGGCTGTGTGTGGCGGGACAGGGGAAGGGTGCATAGGGAGGGGTGATGCCTTGGGTGTCAGTGTTACCGTCTGTAGCAAGAGAGAAAGAAGTACAGCACAGTGGTTGTGAGCTTGAACTCTACAGCCAGATTGCCTGGGACCAAGGCCCAGCTTTGCAACTTAGCAGTTACGTAACCCTGGCCCTGTCACTTATTCTCTCTGTGTCTCTGTTTTCACATCTATAAAATGGGGATGATGACATAATTTGCCTACATCATGGAGCTGTTGTGAGGATTATTTGATATGATAAAGGCAAAGCTCTTACAATCGTTCCTGGGACATAACTACTAAATAACTATTAGCTACTATATAACCACCATTATTTGAATAGGTTGGATAAAAGCCTAAAACAGTTAGAGAATAGGGCCACCTCCCCCAAAACAATCACTCAGAGAGAAGCATCCCAAACTTCCCTGAGCTAGTGGTACCCACCAGAGGTCACCCTGATCTTGCTCCTCTCCCCAGACATTAGACAAGATCTCACCTCCCCCTCATATTTTCCAAAGAAGATGTTCTTCCATCCCATTCCAGCATCACCTTTGACATAGTTGGTAAGTCTCTTCTGTATCTAACTGCAAGCCCTCTTGCTATAACCTGCTTTCATTTTCTCTTGTCCTGGTCTAGGTAGGAACAGAAAGAACTCTCTTTAGACCTCTTTTCTCAGAGGTTGATGGATTTGCCCCTTGGCTTTCTAAGAAGTAGGTCTGGCCTGAACAACTCCCAGTGCTGTCCTGCTGGGACTTGGGCTCCACCTCCTTCGCCCTGTGTGTGCACACTCACTGCTGGCACTTGTGCCTGCATGGAAGCCCTTCCTGAGCCAAAGGCAGCATCATCATCAAGGCATCAAGGCAGAGCTTCACAGGTACCCAGAGCCTCTTAAACACGGGCACAGTGGAATGAAACCACCCAAACCTGTTCCCCAAAGACGGTCATCAGGAGAGGGTGCGGCCGGCTGCCTCTAGCCCTAAAAATCTAGGTTCCCTCTGGTCATTGACCTCCATCTGGCAGGGGAGGTGCCTTGTTTCTGTGCCTTTGGCCCCATTTACACTCAAGCGACCCTCACCCCCACACTTCCGGCCTCCCCCCACGCCAGCCTTTAAATTCTGGGGGATTGGAGGAGTCGGAAGACATCCTGGCGGCCTCCTCCACCCCTTCCCAGACAGCAGGTCCCAGGGGATCCTCCAGTGACCTCACTGTCCTGGCACCTGACCTTCCCCCCACTCCTACCTTGCTTCTACAAGCTGGGAGGGGGACAGGAAATGCACAAGTAATTATAGCCTGAGAGGCAAGAAGGGAGGGAGGGTTCCAGCCCACTGGCTCCAAGCAATAGCTACTGCCAGCAACCCAGAGAGCCAGAGGTGTGGGGGCAGGACCCAAGGCCCGAGGTAGAGAGGGCTGGGGGAGAGCAGAGGGACTGACACCTGGCTTCTCTTCTCAATTCCAACTGTAGAGAGGACGCCTCATCTTGGCAAGCCTCAGTTTCCTCAACTCAGCCACATATTTTGGTAATATAAATGGCAGCTGGGCAAGGTAGGGGAAAGGAGGGAGAAGGTGGTGGTTGTTCTACTCAAAGGGACTCACCATACGAGATGAGCTCTTCCAAGTTTGTCACCCACTCCTGGTCTCCCTCCACCCCTTTACCCAAGTGCCCTCCTGGCACTCCCCCCGGCTCCTCTCACACATACACATGTGTACACGCACAACAGACACATAACTGAATCTCAGGTGAAGCTACTCAATTATTAAGTCTGGGTTGTTGGGGTGGTTGGAGAGAGCATCTCTGCTGATTTGGACCCTACAGCCATTATCCTGCCCCACCCCCCACCCCCCAATCCCACCATTCTTTCCCCTGCCTGCTTTTTCCTTCATTCTTTCACTTCCAGAGATGTTTTCACTGGCAAAGGGAGATTCAACATCTCAGATTCTCCAAACTTCTCAGAATCCTCCCCTGAGCCCCCCAAAGCCAGATGCCAAGCAGTGTCCATATAACCACCTCACCCCAAGAACAAAATGCAAAATTAGCACTCACTAAAGGAGAATGTTGCCACGGCGACGTACCAGGAACAGTAACCAAGCTTAACCCACCCCTTACTTGACCTGGCCCCCACACCTCACACCCCCACCTGGAGAGAACACACAAGCAACCTAATTCAATGCCTGGCACACAGAGGTGACAGATAAAGGACAAATTCCTTTCCTCTTACCCCTGTGCCCAAATGGGCACACTTGGGCATGACACATGCAGACACACATGTCACAGCTGTGTGAGCCACCCACGCACACTGTAGCCAAGCTTCATCTGACCCACTGTCCATCCTAGCTGTGCCACTCTGCACCCCCAGCCCCCAGAGCAAGCTGGGCCACCAGCAGCATGCCCGAACCACAATCCAGGCCCCCCTCCAGCCCTTGTGCCTGGCTCTGGCCTAGGCAGGTGAAGGGTACTCACCCAGCGAAGCCCCTGGATGCGGCTTGGGCGCCGGTGCTCCAGCAGCAGCTGGTAGGAGCAGCTTCGGGACCGGTACATCCTCCTTAACACCATGTTGAGCAGTGTCCCCTCTGGCACCACGTCAGGGAGGCCTCCCACCTGCGATGCACTCAGGGCTGGGCTATCCTCCAGAGCCAGCCCTACCTGCCAGCGGCTCTCACCTGGCCAGCCCACCTATGGTGTGTGGAGGAAGGTGGACAGCCATGGGACAGGGGTTGGGGCAGCTGGACCACAGCACTACTGCCCCAGGCAGAACCACTTCCTTAGAGTCCTCTGGACTGGCCAGGCGGAGGTGCTGCAACCCTGCCAGAAGCTGGGGGGAGGAGCAGGAAGACCTTCACTGGGGCCCGCCGGTCTGGCGCACTTAGGGGTCTCTAGCTGGCTCACAGGGAAGATCAGGCCCCTCTCAGTCCTCTTTGGAATTCTGCCCCACCCCACTGTCCAGGCCCCTGCAGGGATCTCCACCACCTCCCAGTATGAGGCTATGGACTCACTGGATCCCCAGAAATGCAGCTTTGGCTCAAACCCTTCTTCTCCCCTCCTCCCTCACCCCTGACCAACCCTTTCTCTCCCACCCAAACTCCCCACCGTGTCAGCTTCCTCTCCCGCCCTCTCCTGCTGGACCCTGACCCCACCTTACCCACCTTCATGTTCCTTCTCAAGCTCGCACAGCTGTGCAGGCTCTAGCAAAAAGCTTGGGGGTCCCCAGGGAGGCCGGTCAGCTCTGATAAGGGGTGCTGGAGGGGTGCTGGCGGTAAGTCTGGGTACAGTGAACAAGGCCAATTCCTAGCTGGACCGGCTGCCGGAGCAGCAAGATGCAGGGTTCGGTGGAGAGGCTCCTCTTGGGTGAGTAAAGGGCTGGGGGCGTGGTGGGGGGGAGCCCCCCCAGCAACAGGGAGCCCGGAGCCTCCGCCTTCGTCCCAGACGAAAGAGCCAGCTGGCACCGGGCAGTGAAGCGAGGCTGCAGCTGGCACTGGTCCGGACGGGAGCTGTCACACCCCCTGCGCTGCCCGCCCCCTTCCCCTCCCCGGGACGGGCTGAAGAGGCGGGGAGAAGGCGCCCAGCCTTACGGTAGGGGAGGGCGCAGGGGAAGGGGCGGACATGGGCTGGGGGTGGAGTCCCGACTCTGGGGCACGTAGAGCGGGCACGAGCCGGAGCCCAAAGGGACCCCGGGGGGCAGGAGCAGCCCTGAGGTGTGTGCAAGAGCCGCAGCGGCCGGGGTGTCGCGGCAGGGGCGGTGAGTGGCTACCCCCGCCGCCACGTGGCCGGGAGGAGAAATGCAAACAAGGAAACTGGGGAAAGGGGGGCGGGGGGTGAGTCATCGCGGCCCCACCCGGGAGGGAAATCCGGGCTGGGGCCGCTTCCTGGCCGGGGGCGTCTGCCTCCTGTTTCGGTCCAGGGTCTCCAACAGCGCAGGGTGGAGGTGGGGGCGGGGATTGGGCGGCTTTCCCGTGGGGAATCCCGCTGCCTAGCATCCCACTGTTGCGTTCCGGGACACATGCCCCCTCCCCTCGCCCCAGCACACACGTCGGGCGCGGGGTATAGAAACTGAGGCTGGAGAGGAGGGACTGCGCTCGGGAATGGAAGGCGGCTGGAGTTGTGGCGGAGCTTCCAGGACAGAAGGGGATTCTAGGGGGCCACGCCCACCCCCCAGCGCGCTCCCTGGCGGCCGGGCAGGATGAGGCAGAGTCCTGTGTTGCAGGCTTGGTACGGAGCCCCACACCTCCCTGGGCCTGAGTCTCCACCAACGCGCAGGTGGCCAGAGCCGTCCTTTCCGCCCTACTCCTGCTTCCGAGAGGGCGGAGAGACAGTGGCCCTGGGACAGCGGCTCCCGTGGCGTCCCGTGATTGCTCAGGACGATAATGAGGGTTTGGAGGGTGGCGTACGCCCCGCCCCGGCTTTCTAGGACTCATTGACATTTCGCCCCATCTCTTCCCCATTGCCTTTGCTGTTGAGCCTGCCCGGACTTAGGAAGAAACATCTCTAAGAAACCTCTACCCGCTCCTTTGGGATGCCAAGGCCCTATCCTTCACCGATGATTATTTTCTTGAAGTGGGGAGAGGAATTTTAATTGTGGTTTAAAATCCCAATTTTAATGTGTATGTGTATAAAAATTTTTCTGCATTTTAATACTGCAGGTTTCATCCCCCCAAGTTCAGATTCAATCCTATTGGTATGAAATGGAAAATCTGTGTTTTGAATAAACACCCCAGGCCATCTGCTGTGTTCACACTTTGAGAAACACTGGTGGAGTTTTAAATGCCCCTCCGGGGAGGGAGGAGAGCCTGAGAATGAATCTGACCCAAACCTATTCACCCAAGTTCTGGTCGTTTGGAAGGAGGAAGAACAGCCTGGATACTGGCAGGAAAGGACAACAAGCTGGGGGCCGCAGGTATGCATGAGAGAAAGAGTTGAGGGAGGGATGGATTAGAGAGTTTCAGGTTGCTGGGCCAGTGGCCTGACCTAGAATTTCTTACAGGAGAGTTTCCTGAGACTGGCAGTGGGGTCAGCAAGGAGTCCTTTAGTTCCCATTCCTGCTACCCCTACTGTGGACAGGTGGAAAAGATGCTGGGAATGAGGCAGGACACCTGCTTACCTATAGACCTTTTAGCACAGCCACAGAAGCTTATCATGTCCTGGTACTGTTCCAAGTGCTTTCCATGTATTTAACCCCTGCCACAATCCTATGAGGTAGGTACTACTGTTATCCCCACTTTGCAGATGGGAAAACTGAGGCTCAGAGGTATTAAGTAACTTGCCAAGGTCACACAGCTAGGAAATGGTGGAGGTGGGGCTGAATCCAGGTTGTGGCTCTACTTACCCCCATGCCATACTGCATATATTCTGTATGCATTCTATTCATTCTTCTAACATGACGTAGGAGAAGATACCAAGGAAAGGGAAATGTGGGGGGGGTGTGTCCTGGGGGGAAGGATCCAAGGAAAGTCATGCAAATGGGTAAAAAGGAAAATCCCAAACCCACTTTCCCCCATTTATGTTCCCCCTCAACACTACTTTGCCTTCTTTTTCATGTCTCCTTGTTTCCCCTCTCTGGGAGACTGAGGAGATGGCCTGGGATGATTATCTGCTCACTGGTAGCCCAAGGAGATCACAGGGACTGGACCTTCCCCCTGCCCTGTTTCTATTGCTGGCAGGCAGGGCCACCAGTCTCCAGCCAAGTGGGAAAGGTTTTTCCCTTCTCAGGATTCCCGGATGTGGACTGGCCAGTGGATTAGTGCTCAGGAGATATGTGGTGGAGGCAGAGGGGGCAGGGGACTGGGAGTATGTCTGAGGAAGACATTCAGGCCAGATGGTTAGTCATTTGGGGGATAGTCATGCCATGTCCTGGTGCAACCTCCACCCTCCGCTGACTGTCACTAGATGTCTGGCAGGTGTGTTGGGACAGATAAATAATAATAAGAATAGTTTACATGCACCAGGCCCCGTTCTCAATTTTTATAAACATTCACTGATTCCATTGTCACAATCACTTTATGAGGTAGGATTGTTATCAGAGTTTTCCCATTTTACAGATGAGGAAGCTGAGACATGAAGAGGTTAAATGACTTGCCCAAGGTCCCACAGCTAGGAAGTGGTGGAGCAGTGAGTGATTCCAGCCAGGTGATTTCAAGTCTGTGTGCTTTATCACTCTCAATGCTGCCTCTCAAACATTCTGGCAGCTGCTACACAGCGGAGAAAGCCCACACCAAGGTCATTTCCCCACACCTGTGTGCACTGGCTCTGGGGTAAGGGGGGGAACAGGTAGACAGGGAAGCTGAGCAGCAGGCCTCCTTGACACAGTCTGTCTAGACAGTGAGCTCCTGCCAGGTCATGAAACCCCTCGAGCCCTCCTCCGTTCACTTCAGCAGGTGGCAGAGGCTCCCACAGAATAGTCAAAGAGGGTGGGACGGGTGAGAAGGGCTTCTTGGACCAGGCTTTGACTCTGGGCTGTGTTTCCCCCACCTTGGCCTCTTTGCTGAGCTCTATGCATGGTGAACCCATAGCTTCCTGGATCTCCATGGAAGCCTCACATTCTGTGCGTCCAAAACCCCCTCCTCCTGCCTTCTGTCTCTCAGCCTCCTGCTCCCTGAAGCCCCACCAATGCCTAAGTAAGGAACCTGATACTGCAGGTCCCCCCTTCTCCCACCTACGTCAGGCACCAAGTCTGGTTGATTCAACCAAGGAAACATCTTTTATATCGGTTCCTTACATACCACCCCCACTGCAACTGCTCTAGCCCCATGGTGGTCTCTTCCAGCACTTACTATGTGCACCATACCGTGTTAGTCACTTTATAGACATCTTTTGTCCTCAGAACAATTCCTATTTGCAAGTCAGGAAACTGAGGAGCAGAGAAGTGAAGTAACTTGCCCAAGGTCACACAGCTAGTAAGTAGTAGAGCCAGACTCAGGCAGTCTAACTGCAGAGTCCATATTCTTAACCACTTTTTGTACTGCTACCCCCTGCCATGATTGTTACTCTCAGCCTTGCCTTGCTCGGCCCTTCCTGTGCAATGCCACATGAATCATTAAACAATCTTTAATTCATTCAACAACATTTGCTGTAGGTGCCAGGAACTCTGCTGTAAACTGGAGATCTAAAGCTGAGCAGCAGATACTGTCCCAAAGCTTCAGGACCATAGAGCCTAGCAGAATTATCTTTTATCTCCCTAACACACGAATCTGATTGGCTCTCCCCACCCAGCACAGTGCCTGACATAAAGTAGGTGCTTAATGATTATGGCTGGGAATGAAATGAACAGGAACCATGGGAAGTCAGCTGGTGCCTGCCACAGGCATATACCCTGGACGGCTTGGAAGGGAGAGGAGCTAGTTTACCAGTTTGTTGTTAAAACCTTTCGTTTCATCTCCCTCCCTCCTTGCCACTTTCTTGTCTCCTATCTGTTTCTCCTCTGTCCTATCCTGCAAAGGCTCAGCTATGTCATTTGAGGGTGATTGCTGGGAAGGAGAATGAGAGGGGAGAGGGAGTTTTCACTAACAGACCTCGTGCAGGACTGCAGAAAAGGGCCAGCTTGGAGACCAACTCTGAAATAAAGCAGTAGCAGATGGAAGGGCTGTGCTGGGACCTTGGCCTGCAGCCAGCTCTCCCCCAGCAACCCTAGGAGTTAACACTGGCCGTGGGTGGTCAACAGTGGGGAGAGATTGAGAAGGGAG